TAAGGGTGTCCGAGCCCAAAAGGCTGGCAGTAGTTCCAGTTCAATATGCATCAAGTTCTGATGTGTGAAGTCGTATAACGCACACAGCTAGCTTGCACTGAGATATATAGCTCCCGGGCACCCAAACCAAAAATCCTAACCAAAGAAATCAAGCGCTCCGCGCCCGCACCCACCCTAACCCCCAGAGTAACCCCACCCGTCTCCCGGGTTCTTATCTTGCGGTGTCAGTGCAAGCTGCTCTAAACAAGTGCAAGCTACGGCGTTGCCAAATTTGAAGGCAGCACCCAAACTGCTACTGCGCCGCGCGGTCGACCAGTACTAGTAGACACTGAGTTCGCTGTCTGCACACGTCTGTCTGACGACCATCAATTGACGGCTGGAAGAGGTCCTAGGTCCGCGATCGACGGCGCAAGCTTTCGCTGAGGTTCAGTCCGACGGTTGAAGTCGTTGACCTGGACCGGTGCACAATGTACGCGTCACGCCGCATGTAAACGCGTACATAGCTTAGTACTGTAGCTACTCATACTGTAGGAACTGTACGTGGCCAAAGATCGACAGTGAAGTGTACCGGACAACGAAATTGGTACTGCGTTCTGTCATTGTTGAAAGCCAAGCAGCCAAAGCCGCATTGTGCGCAGGAGGAAGCATGTGTCCGCAGTCGTCGGTTCTCCATATGCTGTCGCGTCGGCGTGTCCAGTGCGACAATCCAGACTGCCCTGCCGCATGCTGTGGACACACGTGCTCTGAGGCTGCGAAAATGGCGCCATTTAATGGCGGAGGATTTGACCAGCACCCGCGCTGCGGCCGGGGGGTCAGCTCCTTCTGCTGAGCAAAGTCTCCCCGACAGTCTTAAAAGTGACGACATCCTACCTCGCTCAGTCGTCCTCCTGTCAATACGTAAACGAAGTCCATCGCCGAGAGCAGCACTAGAAGGCTTAGGGCACAAGTATAAAGCTAGAACCACTTCCGCACTTCCTCATTTCTACCTTCGCGACTTCGTCTCCGGACGAAAAAAGCCAGTTGCAGAGAGACACTGCAACACTCCAGAAAGCGACGCTCCGTGCAGTCCCCACTACTAAGCTGCACTATTCCTTCACAATGGCGGGCGCGCGCCTCGCGGCGACCCTCCTGGTCGTCGCGCTGAGCTCCCAGGTCGCCCTCGGGTGCTGGACCGGTTACGTCAACAACTGCGGGACGCGCACCGCCAAGTGTCCCTGGTCCAGTAGCGCGGGCTACGGCGTCAAGCACTACCCGACGGACCTTACCAGCTGCAGCGGAGTGCAAGTCACGTGCTATTCCAACAGCGGGTGCACCAACAAGGAGAGCACGGCGTGCGGGATCTGCTACATTGAGTCGGGGACGAACAAAGTGGTGCTGATGTGCTCGGCGACAACGTCGTTGATTAGCAGCAACTGGTTCTGGGGGAGCAGCAACTGCAAGGCGCTCGTGACCAACCCGGTGACGTCCAGCTGCGCGAACCCCAGTGAGTGACAGCTGGCAAAAGTCTTCTCATGGCGTTTTCTGAAGAGTTTTCTGCGAGACACACGAGGTTTTTACTTTAAAGGGGAAACGTCTGTGAGACTTTTGTGCAAGGTTGGGCCTCCTTCAAACATTTTGATAACAGAATACTAAGGAAGAGGTCGTGTTGGAAGTAAATTTTGCCAACAGGATACTGAGGAAGAGGTAGTTTTGGAAGTTACTGCTGGAAGGTCGTACCGGTGTTCCTGTCAGGAAATTCTGGAACCACATGGGTGGGGTTCTATTTTGCGTCAGTGTTATGAAGGGGCTCTTGAAGACAGGTTTGTGTTGATCAAGGGTATCCAAGAGAGAGAGCTTGTTGAGAAACATTAAGAGTCGCCCATATGTTTCTTGCACGACTCTCCAAAGGCACCTCGGGGAGCACATTCCTGGCCTGTCTTATAACGGAATTGCTGCGGTCAGGTTTGTCATGAAAACGGAGAAGGGCTGCGGTTACAATTGTCCTTTGAACTATGTTGATTTGCTGAGTTGGGAGAAGGGAGGGCAGTCGACTGAAGTAGCAGGTCTTGCAGTTGAAGGTGACAGCACTAAGCAAACAGGGTTCTAGTGGGTGAGAGGGCTTGGGGGTTTCTAGAGGGGGCTTTCGTAATGCACCTTAGAAACGGACCTGAGAAGCTCTCACCGGCTAACGAGCGGGTCTTGCAGACATGGTAAAGAGTGGCCCTTGGCTTTGGGAGGCATGAGCTTAAGATCTCTTTAATGGACACGTGTCAGACATGCCGACTCTTTGGAATGCAAACTAGTTCTCACCTTGGGGATTATTCTCCCCGGTAATGTTTGCTGACTTTCCTTTCCCCTTCTGTTGACTCGCGCAGTTCTGTACCCTGGCAACGGCATCTGCGGTGACCCCCACTTCGCTGCGCCCGGCGGCATCTTCTTCGACTGGCACGGAAAGCGCGACGAGAGCTTCAGCATCATCTCCGACTCGCGGTTCCAAGTGAGTTTGACGCTCTGGGTTCTAGCTATGCAGTCGAAAATACGAGATGATCGCGGTCTGCAGTCAAAATACGAGATGATCGCGGTCTGCAGTCAAAATACGGGATGATAGCGGTCTCCATCAATTAAAGAGTGTATAGCTCTTTGGGTCGAGGCAGAATGATCGGCTTTCAAGCCCGGCATTGACAGCTGTTGGGACGAAAGCCGGGCATTGACAGCTGTTGGGACAAGAGCACTTTCGAGAGTCTCTGCTCCAGGCATCCCCAAAACATTGAAACTCTGTTGAAAGGAGATGTGACTACTCTGCAGACAATTCAAGAAGAAGGATTACAAATACCTCTGCAGATTGAACAGGGGCCATATTCAGGGGCCATATTCAGGGGCCATATTCTTGCACTTGCTTCCCTTTCGGAAAGAGGATTCTGTCTGGAGCCTCTTGACACTGTCACGACTCAACCTATTCTCGTGATGCTGTGTGCAGCTCAACGGCCGCTTCATTGGTCAGCGCGTCGACTCTGACAAGATTGAGCCCGGCACCTGGATGGAGGTAAGGACCCCTGCTATCTGGGCTTCTTTCTAACAGTGCTCACCTCTGTCACACTTTCTACTGGTTTCTCAGTTTCAACCGAAACTTTGGACCCTTTCCAGCAGACCCCGCCTGCGTTTCCCCCTCAATTTAGAGGTGACTGTCAACCAACGCTCTGTGGGACACATTCTGCCTCTCTTTAATTTTGCAAGTCTTCATTCTGAGCTGTTTCTCTACCTCGATCTACGAACAGCGCTGTTCGCGATTGTGAAAAGCACTGTTTCTCTTCTGCAAGGCGTCAAACTCAATGGGTCCATTCACTTCGCCCGTAATCGCTTGTGGGTCCCTTCCCGCACAGATTCTGACAGCTGTCGCTTTTTTGTTCCCGACAGGAGATCGGCATGGGCTACGTGGCTGAGAAGACCGACGACGTGCACTTCGTGACCATTGGTGTGGACCAGGAGAAGGAGCACGAGAACGCCGACGCCTTCTACTTCACCTTCGACGGCGAGGACATCGCAGTCGGCTCCGTAAGTCGTGTCGCCTTCGAAGTCGAAGCGTTTGTGCATGTGCTTGTCAGCTTTGTGGGTTGTGCAAAGTAGCTGAGCTTGTTTGCGTGGCTAAGTTGTAAGCGTTGTGGTTTATGCAAAGAAGCCTGACCTCGTGCGAACGTACGAAGGACGGTGTTAAATTCTTTCTGCATCTGAGAACTATTCTCGTACCTTCACAGCTTGCGTCGTGTAAAACAGGGAAGTTCGAGACATTTAGTTCGATCGATGTATCACGCCCCTTACCATTCCTTCCACCTGACAAGCAGGTAAAGACTACTAGCTCCTCTCAAACCTTGCGCCGAAAATTAACCCTGACGCCCGCCCTTGTCTTAGGGCTCCAAGACGTACACGTGGCAGTCCCCTGACGGCATGGTGACCGTCACCCGCAAGCCGCACATGCGCGCGCAGGCGCACGTCAAGATCGAGGGACTGTTTGAGGCGACCTTCTACACCCGCGTCGAGAGCAGGATCCAGGTAAGACCCACGAGAGCCTTTCCATAGCAACCGTTTGGTTGCCATGAGTCATCGAGCTGGCAGAAAAGCTGGCAAAAAAGCTGGCAGAAAAGCTGGCAGAAAAGCTTGTCCAAAAGAGTGGCCCGAAGGCGATGGGTTTACATGCTCTTTGTTTGGCACTTCATCCTGATCGAAGGACGACTTCTTTCCAGTCAACTTATGGATCGACGTTTCAGTCAACTTATGGATCGACGTTTCTTTAAGTGCGTCCTAGTCGAAAGTTTTGTAAGCTCTCGTCTTGTTACCACGTCCTTCCATCTAATTTCTTGTGCGTTTCTGACGGGACTCGAATTGTACGCTCCGTTCATTCTGATGGTTCCTTTCCGCCGGCTAAGCTCTTCTCTCGCCTCCCCCCCGTGCAGCTGGAGCCGCTGGGCAAGTACCTGGACCTGGAGATGGACAACCTGCAGCTCACCAAGCACGTGCACGGTGTCCTGGTGAGCCGCCCCGCTGACTCGCCCCGCTCTTTCTCAAAATCTAGGGTCTCATGTATCGTCGTAGAGACTGCAAGCAAAGACCTGCCCGCCTTATTTTTCTGGGAAGCAAAACTTTGACTGCCTCTGTTCCCGTAACAAAAGAGCTAGGACAGTGCACGACATTTGCAGTTCCCCAGTTGCATCTTCATCTCATAGAGTAGTGGACAGCGGCTGAGATGGACAACGCTGAAGGAGGAACGATCTCATATTCTTCCAAGGTGATCAGACGGCTACAGATAATACAGACGAAACAGACGTATTATCATTTTACCCAAGATACGTTTCAACCCTTCTATCTAGAACCCTTTCCTTTCCTCCCAGGGCCAAATGTTCCGCCCCGACATTTTGGAGCGGAAGGAGCGCGCGGCCGCGAACGCGACGTCGCACGAGGCGCTGGTGGACGGCACCACGGAGGACTACCGTGTGTCTGACGTCACGGCTTACGACAGCGCGTTCAACCAGTTCCACCACGGCGCGGGCCTGCGCATCAAGTCCTTCAACATCGTGTCTGACGTCAGCCGCGCCATGCGCAAGATGATGAGCGTCGACGTGCCCGCGGTGACCGGCGCTGACGTCACCGTCAGCCGCCTGGCGTGCAGCCAGGGCGCGGGGCGGCTGGTGTGCGCGTAGGGGTGTTTCAACATATTTTAGAATTAGGGCGAAGGAGTCAGCTGACAGTCCGAATCAGTCCGGATTCATTCAAACTTAACCACAGACAAACCAAATAATGCTTGACGAGGTAGCAAGTTCTCGAAGCCAATACTTTAATGAGGATTGTTGCAAAAGGATTGGTGCGGAAGGTCTTAATGCAATATAAGGAGTGACTGGTGCGGAAGGTTTTGAATAAGGTTGTGATTACAGAAACAGTCATTGAATTGCAAGGATGCGGCGGCTGCCGCTGGAAGGGACCGTGTGTTCTTGTCGACCCTGCTTTGTCTGGCTTGAAGGTCAAACTACAATCACTTTGCCGCAAAGATCTGCATGTATGTCTTCTTGCCCAATCTTGAGAGTTACAAGCGGCTCTACCATGCATTGATGTGGCAGTTCTGAAGTGCATCCACCTTCGTCAGACCTACGTTGACACCCTCGATGAGCCCACAGATTGAAGGCTTGAGGTCTTAAGTTCCCCTCTGGTTGGATTCAAGTCTAGGTCGGCCGGGCTCTCACAGGCGGAGACAAAATTTGCTACACTTGTACGGAGTAAGAATGAATCATGTCTGCGGATCCGACAGTAGCATCGGTGACTCCCGGGCCGAAGCGGCAAGATGAGTAAGTAAATCATATATGTGTTCACATGAAGTTGACGGTGATGCAGGTCCAAATAGTAACACGTTCAACCTAGCTAGGTGAATCTATGTGTTTTGTGTACGTTGTGATGCCATCTATAGCTGAACAAATGAGCGGCTGCATAGGCTTCTCCGAACATAGTACACAATTTCAAATCAATGGCGCAATGTGCTTGGCAAGCCTGTTCATCCGCAGCCGTACGTCGCATGAGCTTGTCACTCATGCAAAGTACTAGGAAACCGGTATACATACCGCGCCCGGCGTTAATTAGTGATATACATAGCATCTTAGTATGTATCTAATCGATCGCGTTCGATCGAATAGGATGGTCAAGCCATTGCATCCATTGATCGGACGATTTGCCAAGCCTGTTGGACCTCTGGAGCTAGAGCTAATGTTTGATGGATGAACGGATACAGTTGCATGTACGTTGGCCGGGCGGCCAACAGCACTTGGCGGACCCGCAGCTGTCTGATCTACAAGCCAGCCTAGGCGCTTACCCTGGAAGCTAATTGAATGAGTCACCATGATCAATTGAAGTGAATTGACTGCATATCAAAGCTTTCAGATCCGATACTTCTGATTAAGAATGCAACTTATCTGAAGGCTGCAAATACACTGCAATCCATTCTGATTACCCCAGCAATTGAATTACCATCAATCATCGGGTGGTACCGTCAGATCTCAATCTCTGAAGCGGAAGGACCAATTCAGCAAAGTTGCACGGGCGCACCATGCCATTGACACTGATTTGGCTTATGCGGCGGCCACTGTTTGGCTTATGCGGCGGCCGCTGTTGACTCTTTGCAGTGGTGCAACTTACACTTCTCTTTGTATAAGTTCTTGGGTAAGATCCCCACCCTTTCGTAAATAGTCAGCTAGTCACTAAGGATTGTGCCAAGACTCTACAGAATACCGGCCGCGTTTTGAACTGCTTAACCTGCGCTTGCTATCAGATTGGGACTGTTTTAATACAAGAATATCACTTAGTTAGACCCAGAGGACAGCAATTCTCCTGAGAATAAAGGTGTTCTGTCGATGTCTACAGACTGTACACGTGTTGCACAACGATGTTGCCCTCAGGCTGCACTCCTGCCTCGTTAACGTGGTTCTACTGTGTCAACTGCGAGCATCCAGCTGGATGCTAGGTGCTGCTCGCAGCGTCATGAGGGAAAACCATGTTGACAAGGGGCAAGTAAACCAACAACACGCCCTGATTCAACAGCGGATTTTGAAATTTTGACTATCTTTGCTTTGAGGATCGATCTCATATATCCTGCGGCGGGGTGGCTAATACAGACTCATTTTACCGCCAGAGGAACACGAGGAGGCCCACTAACAATAACGTGTTGACCACAACCACAGGACAGATGTATTGCGAGTATCACATGACCTGCAGGAGTGACACAATCACAGGTTGGCTACTCCAGCAGAATATTCTGTGCAGGCCACAGCTTTTTGACGTAAAAGCAAGACATGCTGGTAAACAACAAACATTTACCCCTGGCTCAGCACCAAGGTGACAACCTTCCAAATGTTGTGGCGGCTCAGGAAACACCTTGACGGACAATATTGCTCCATCAACTGCAATAAGATCTGTCCTCTGCAATTGGGCTGCCAGACCAACAGCTGGCTCTTCTCACCTCGTCATAAACTGTCCGCCACAGAGATTGGGGCAGCCCCCGCTCCTGCCCCACCGTATCATGGATAGTCTGCGGAAGGAGCGGTGCGCTGATACCCCTGCTCAGAACCTGCCTGACCTTTTGCGAACCCTCACATGACCTGCATGTGCCCTCTATACACTTAGCATTGTGATCCAAAGCCCCGGACACGGAAGGAGTGGCTGCCTGCCTGACGCTGTCTTCATCATTAGTGCCTCTGCAGATCGAGCTTCCGTCGTCCACCGTAACTTCAAGGTGACAGTCGTTGCATGAAGCTGCATCCTCTGTAGGCAGCCCGACAGGGACTGTCTGAATGAAGACGCCCATTCCAAGGTAGCGGTAGTACTCCAGGCAATTATCAATAAGAAGCTGGGAAGAAGCTGGTGGCAGTGGCAGTTCCGCCACTGCGCCAGCACTTGTCACGACTTCAGCTGCAGCCTCTGTGAGCATGGGCCGAGGGCTTCTTATCTGACAAGGTCGTGCGCGCGTGGGGTACGCGCAGCTCCGAGCTTCTTGTGGCCTCCTGCTTCCGTCAGCTTCAATTATTAAAGGTGACTGCAAAAGTGTCGGCGTCGCAACCACTGCGGTCTCCGCTCAACCGTCGATGGAGGCTCGAGACTGGCCGGATATCAAGGGACGGTTGGCCACTCGATTGGTTTCGGAACTCAGCAACCGCGGCTGCTGCGTACACTGGCTACAGGAATTCAGCACCACAGCAAGTGGAGTGTTAGTGAGACACTCGACCCCCCCTCCTAAAATTGCGGTATCGAATCGCATTTAATGCTCTGCTGTAGTTGGCTAGTCTAAGGCTGTTTCGATGCCGAGACAAATTTGCCATCAAAAACGGTTGATCGGACCGAATCTACACCAACTTCCAGTCTACAGTTTTGCACTACGGTATACTATTCTTAAGCATTTAATGCTCGGTTATCCCAAATACTGACGGTTAAAGTGACCGCGTATATAACCCCGCAAGTTCTAATTTTGTCAGCGTATCGTTGGACGCGCTCACCTACCTACTTTATCCTACAACAAAACCTACAAATGACGAAGTTTCGAACGTTTCGAACCTTTTATAGGTCGAAATTGGCATCGATTCTAGAAGCACCGGGCGACCACTCTGCGCCAAGACGGCTCACATGTTATCTACCTCAAGAAACAAAGTCGCTACAGAGGCCAGCGACCAAATGACGCGCTTTAACCTTCAGGATGAGTCCAAAGGTCTAACCTGGTCGCCAAGCGCTGCAGGATGCTGCAGCATCAGGAAACCGTGTTGACCCGGTTGACCGTCAACCGGGTCAAAGACTTGCTATCCATGTAGAGGAACAGACTGCAAATAGCGCATGTCCTCTACGACACATGCTTTTCCTGAAACCGTGTCCCGAGGAAAGGGGCGGCTAACCGCTTTCTAACTTGCCCGGAACAGCGGACATGCACTTATGAAATCATAAATGCTTGCTAAAAAGTGGCGAGTAGTTTCTGTTCTCAACTTTCAAGAGTTTTGCACGTTTTGCGATGAAAAAGCAGACTCAAACGCTGAGTGCGTGTCATAAATGCGGGACGATCCGAGTAGAATTTCCACACCCTAGTAACGTACTGCTTCTGACAAGAATACCGTACATATCGTGTTACATTATAGTAGCTTTGTAGCTCTTGTGATCGAAAACAGTGCTGTCATCTACGAAAATAGTGAATTAAGTACTAGTATTGGCCTAGTATTGGATACACATACCGTATATTGTATGATAATACACGGAAGAGTGTCAATATTAGAGTCCTTGATAAGGAGTGACCATCAGAGTCCTGCGGCACCCTGAGCACCCGCTTCAATGCTACGCTTTGAAGTCGCCGCCAGGGCCCGCAACCTGGAATTGGGAGTCACCGTAGCTCAGTAGCTGTTACTAGGTAAGACAGTATCTCGAACGTACGTTTTCTGGTTGGGAAATGCACGTGAAGTTCGCCCTTGAAAGTTCAGGCCTGGAATCAGGTACCTAAATAGAATAGCTGGCTGATACTGGGTAAACCTATGACAGCAAGATTGATCATCCCTACAACCACTTGCCAGTGTCCCCCACTTACTCCACAATCACTTTTAGCGTCTTACAATACAACATTACCGTACTGTTGTCATGGGTTGTCATTTCAACATGTTGTACTTCAGTTGGCGCAATCATTGCGCAAGCACCTTTGGCCGCGTCAACCTAGCGGCTGTCAGAGATTCTCAGTCTGAGATTGGATCAACCTGCACACACAACGTTGTTTCAACTGTTGTGCATTTGCATATGCCACAGAACAACACGATGGTCATCAGCTCCGCAAAGCCACTGAAGGTCCTGATACACACGTACTATCCGGAGACGTCTGCAAACGAAGTACAAATCATCCAACCTCCGAGTCTGGGTCCAAAACCACCTCGACAAGCCTCGAAGCTTACTTCCACAGCCAAACTTTAGCTCAGGTATACACATAGGATCGATCCACTGGGCCCACAAAATCAGCCAGTGGCAAAGCGAATGGTCACCAGCCAATCGGCAGTGTCTTCCTCTCTCCGTCGGTCTCTTGAGCTGGACATTTGCCAATCCGTTGTTGAAGGATAAGGCAAGCCAAGTGACAAGAAGGATCAATCAAGAGGGTCACAGGATTCAATGCTGAAGTGCTGGTAGTTTTGTCAACGCACACGAAGTGCTTCCCAGTACACGGGTAAAACATCGGGAGGCTGCATCGGCTTGGAAAAGGTAGGCCCCAAGCACTTGCTCCTCATGCTGAGTTGCCTTTGAGATCGACAAAATTTCCTATGCTTGTAGCCAGTCCCTTCTGCCCCTCTTCGCTCTGATGAAAGCGGGAGCTGACTTGCTGACTCAAGCAGGCAGGAGGGTCAGGACGACGTCCCAAGCTTTTGCCCTCTTTCCAGACGTCTCAGAAACGGCAAAACATTCTAGCACTGCAACAACTCCTTTTGCCAACTGAACAGCGGAATCCCCTCACTGAACTGCTGCTGTGAAGGCTGGGCTTGACATATGAATAGAGCAGTGCTAATGGTTATGAAGGCTTTGTTGCAGACAACCCTCAGAGACGTCCGATCTTCCTAGGCACGGAAGGCTCGTCGACTCTTCAAGATTCAGATGTGAAGGCTTCTAGCAAATTGCCAGATCATCCTGTTTGTCATCTTGTCTTGTTCGTGCTTTAGAAATGCGTATATTCTGAAGCATTCCTATCACTAGCAACGGCGGCCATCACTGCAAAATGCAGACCGGAACTAACCCGGTTAGACTGAGAAGGAGACTCCCTATGAAGGAGCTTCTGAGCATCCCAATGAATGCGCTACAAAGGCATCATTGGAAGCTTCCTTTCTTACAAAGCCGATTGAAATTGACTTTGGGCTTCCATTGAGCTTCAGTCCTGCCCATTGATCCCGGTCTGGCACTGTTCTTAACCTTTCCCTTCTACGCTGATTTCCAAAGGTACTGATTCCCCTTCCCGATCTTACTTCTTTCAGAAGCCATGGCCCCCGAGCCCGAACCAACCGGCGCTGACATCAACACCTTCAATGACACGTGGCAGCAGCAGAAGGCCGCTCCCGTGGCCGACTTTGCGGCGTGGGAGCGCGCACTCAAGGCAGACGGCAAGTGGCCGCTGCAGCTCAAGGGGCAGAGGACGACCCACGTGGCGACAGCTGTCGTCAAAGGCGCCGGTCCAGCTGGCATCTCCGCGGCCCTCGAGCTCGACAAGCTGGGCTTCCACGTGGTGCTCGTCGACTGCAGAAACGCCAACGCGCGGCTCAACATGATCGCCGTGCGCGCGGAAACCAACCGGCGGCTGCACGAGCTGGGCGCCCTGAAGCACCTCAAGGCGCACGCGCGCTGGGCGCGCATGGCGCGGCGCGAGATCTTTGACGAATGGACGCAGCAGTTCCTGGAGGCGGAGAAGGCCCCCGTCTTCTTCGACGCGCCGGGATACGCCCGCCCGGCGGCCCTCTGCGACCAGATCTCCACGCACTACACGTCGACCGCGGACCTCGAAACCAGCTTGCTCATGGCCGTCAAGGACCAGGCGCAAAGCAGCGCAACGGGGGGCGTCAAGGTCGTGCCACACGCGTCTATTCGGGTCACCCGCGCGCCCGGCACGAAGCGCGACCGCGTGACTCTGGTCCCCAAGGACGCATCGCAGCCGTCCGTTGACCTGGGCTGTCCGGACCTGGTCGTCTGGGCCACCGGCAAGCGCGACCCCGACCTCGCGCGCGACCTCGGGATCACGCAGCAGTACAACGTGGACCTAATCAACGGCCCCGGCGCGCCGCCGCTCGAGCCGCAGGCGTTCCTGCTCTTCCAGCTGAAACCCAAAACCCCTGCGTCCGCGCTGCGGTACATGCACACGGTTCTCACCAAGGAGCTGTGTGACGCCAAACCGCAGAAGCTAATCCGCGGGTGGGTGTACGCGCACGGGGTGCTGAACTGCACCATCCAGCTGCCGTGCGGGCTGACCCCGCGCGGGCAGTCGGCGCCCCCCGACCCGGAGCAAGTCGCGCGCCACGTGGTGGGGCAGGTGAACGCGGAGCACGGGACTTCGTACGCGAGCGTGGACGCGCTGCTGCGGGACTATGACGTCACCTACGGCTCCATTAGCAACATCTTCTGGGTGGACACGTCACTCGCGTCCGCGCTGACACATGGCAGCAACCTGGTCCTGGCGGGGGACGCAGGCGGCACGTCGTCCCCAGGTAAGGAGTGCCAGTCTTGGCTGCGGAACGCTGGTTCTCTGTCGCGGCTTGAGAGCGTACTGTCACCTCGTATCACGCTAAAGACAATCCTTTTAGCTTCTTGGACCGGAGAAGAGACATCAGAAACCATTCCAGCCCCAATATTGCGAAGCAAAGCGGCAGCCATTACAAGTTGTGGCAGCTATTCCTGACTGAGCGCGTGCGTTCTTCGCCAGGTTCGGGCACGGGCGCGGCAACCGCGATTGTTTCGGACAGCGAGAGCGTGGCGCGGCTCGGGGCGGGCCTGCTCGCGCGCAAGCGCGCGAAGGCGACGTGCGGCGCGGCCGCGGCCGCGCCGAAGCGCGCCGCCCTGATGGCGCAGTACGCGCGGGACAAGATGGACGCCATCCTGGCGTGGGCAAAGTCCGCGCGCATGTACCTGGTCACGCAAGCAGAGGCGGAGGAGATCCGAGGACCCCTGAAAAGTGAGCAAATCGTGCTTCTTTGATGTTCAGGCCAGTGTTTCGAGAGTCAGTACCTCGTAATGAATCAACCAGTACAAGTACAGCCGTCAATGGAGACGGCAGTTCTCAAACCTGACAGCCTCACAGAGCACGGCTTTGGAAAAGGGCAGCGCTTAGTTAGATCAGGTAACGGTTCAGTAGCCCAGTCGTGACGTGTCGATGTTGCACATGCGTTGTCAGTGAGAAGACTCTTGTCGCCTTCACAAGCAACCAAGACTGACGCTAAAGTGAGGGAAATTAACGTGTTGAAGTCACGCCTTCATCGGTGAAACCACGAAAGCTAATAACCATGACTCTGTCCTTGGCAATCGTGCAGAGACCGACGATCTGAAGGCGCTGCGCGAGAGAGCTGCTCTCAAAACGTTGGCTGTTACAGTGCCCAGACAGGTGGGTTGCTCTTAACCTCTAGGGTTTTGTGTCCCTCTGTGCAGCAAAGGTAGGGACGTACTCAATGTCGGCCAGTTGGATTCTGGACGTGATTAACGTTTTGGATTCGAGCCTTCCATGCAAGTATGAAGCTACTAGGGTCACATGCTGCTCGTGAAGACAGAGATTCAACAAAGTTGGACTTACGTTCCTAGGTATTTCATGGAATACCGAAAACACATAGAGGTAGAGAGCTCTGGTCTGTTTCTGATTAGTTTCAAATAATGTCCGGTCACGAGCATGAGCAGAACTAACATGCTCCTCTTCGTTTGCTTCTCAGGTTGAGACGGATCAGAAGCGCTCCCCTCTTGCGGCTCTCAACCAGGTTGAGACGGAGAAGCGCTCCCCTCTTGCGGCGTTCAACCGGCAACGTGGCTTCTAGATTGGTTCCGAACCATTCCGTGCGTCTAGCGGCGTTTTGGGTTCCTCCTTATAAAGCACAGAACCCCTGAGGGTCTGACAATTGGGTCTGACATGTAAGGTGGCTGGATGAAAAACCCTGAAAAACCAGAGAGATGTTCAATAGTTACGTGCGGCATCAGTGGTGGGCTCTTCGTAAGAGACTAGTTTCCGGGAAGATGATAGAGTGAGAAGCATTAGATAGGAAATAGGACGTGTTGCGAGCCGTTGAAAAACGAGCTCAACAGTTGCTACCGCTCGCGGTTGAGAGATCAACATACTGGACACCGTTCACCTTGTTACACTACATACAGACGAAGTTAGATGTGCCATCATAATTAGTTCGAGTTCGAGCAGCTTAGGTTTAGAATTCAGCTGGTTCTGTGAAAAACAAAGTGCGCCCACAAACTCCCTTCCCGTCGTCCGCAAAGGTGGCTATCCAAAAACTTAACACGTCGTCCGCATAGGTGGTCACCGAGAAACCCGTCGTCCGCAGATTGTAGTTATCTAGAGGCCCATCGTCCGCAAAACCAATCGACACCGCCCGACCATCACGTAGAGCATCAGTGGAGCGTTTCGTGATGAATTTGCACACTGACATTTTGCCTAGTGGTTAAACAGAAATCATTCGAGAGGTATATAAGGTGAACAGTGTAAGAGCAGTTCTGGCAGTAGAATTGATTAGTTGCCAGGCCCTAGATAGACACCGCTTCCGCGATTGTCACAGACGCTTCTTAATGAAGACGCACATTCGCGGCCCAGCTTGAGACATAGCAGTGCAAAGAGTATGCTATTTTGATAAGTATTTATTGATACCGTCGACTCTCAGTAAAACTGTTCCGATTGCGCAGTATAGCGGCCGCACCCTTGTCTGAGTGCGAGCTTGTGCGCCGGCCGCGGCGAACCATCACATGTCATACTATACGTTGATGAATCACTATAAAATGCTTCGTATATGGACGTACGTAGGCATCCCAGATACTTGGATCTACAGCTGCTGCAAGTGTCCGACCGGGCCCGAGTCCGCCGTACTGACCGCGAGACGGCCCGTGGCATTATGCGTACCAAACAATTAAAGTGAGATAGAATTGTTGAACTTAGAATTGAAGACAATTTCATCACAAACTTCCTGTCCCGGCCGCCGGGATGGGTGCCAAAAAGTCGATCCCGTTAACATGCGTAACTCAAACTCAGTGCTGGTATGGCGCTTCTAAAAAATGCCTAGGCCGTCTAGCTTGCCAGGCCCGCGCATGTTTGGCGCCTGAATATCGCGCAACTGCATGGTGCACAAAGGACGCATGTGTAGCGCATATGGACACATTCGATCGGCGCCCGCCGGGCATGGCAACGGAATGGTGCGAACATGTTTGGCGTCAACCATGGATGCATTCATTGTGCACATATAGTATGCCGCAGGCCGCATCGTAGGCCGGCCAGAGCAATCATTAATAGCGCTTTTATAAGCCAACAAACTCTATAGCACTCGAAAGTCTGAACCGTCTTGACGCGGTACACCTTATAGGACAATCGACTTATTCTAGGCTCTGCCGCACAAGCGCGGCCGGGCGTGCAAGCGCTGGGGCAAACGCTGAGAATGATCATGCAGGACATGTCTAGAGCGAAGCGGTTCCGGATATCCATGAAGCCAATTGTTTGTGCAATGCATGCTTGCACTCTCATATCCAGTTGGCCGACCTACGAGCGCAGGAACCCACTTCTGAAGCTTGGACTCGTGCATTTGCACGCTGAGCAATCAGCCTGCAAAATTTCCCGTTCGTTCAACAACGAGCCACTTTGCAGTCCAAGATAGAAGCAGACTTGGCTCGGAATTTTTAACAGCGCCACAACTGCGACCTGGTCAGATCAACGATCCAATCGAGCACGGCAATCCTACTGCAGTGCCGTCACTCCTCGACAAAGTTGGCCGCTAAGTCCCAGTAGTGCCCCACCCCCGCGTCCTCAAGAAACTTGCGTGCGGCCGCCTCGGTCCGCGTCTTGTGCACCATGAACCGCTCAAACGCGGGCTTGAGCACGCTGCCCTGCCACACGAGCACGCACTTATTGTCCCGCGCTAGTTCTTCGTCGGCATCGTCATCGTCCCCCGCTTTCTCGAGCGCCTGCGTCCAGTTGATTCGGTGCAGCATGAGCTTCTGGTAGCGCTTGTTGGACTTGGTGCCGCCTTCGACCAGGACCACGCTCATGGCGTCGCTGATGAGCATGACGCCCGTCAGCCGGTTCTCCTGCGCGTTGATGTCCACCTTGTACTGGTGCTGGGGGTGGCGCAGGTCAGACACCCTGCGCGGAAGAAGAGGAGAAAGATCAACAGCCGCAGAGAGAGCCTTGTTTCGAACCTGGGGCACTTTGCTTACAAAGTGTCCAACAAAAGCAGGCGGCTAGGGATGGAAATAATCGGTGTCGAACATACTAAGAAACCGTGGTGAAGCGAGAAAGTTCCTTCCAATGATGGCAGTTTTTTCCAACTCTAGGACACTTTGGTGCAGCTTTGTGGGTTCAGCGTCCTGATACTAGCATTCCTTCACCTGGTTCCACGACCTGGGATAGAACTAGAGATGAATATCGAGGAGAGGATTGTCAATAGAGCGCATTCTACGACCGATGACGTCACTGATGCACTGCTACCAAGCAAAGGCCCCTGAGACCCCAAAAATTGAAGTGACGAGCTCCAAGTTGGCCAAAAGAGCCCATTGACTTCACGCAACGCACAGAAGGATAGCCCAACGATATGAGATTTCCAGCAAGACAAGAAGGCAAGGTCACAATCACAAGCGTACCTGTACAGCGACACGATCGTCTCGAGCGTCATGTCCTCGAACAGCTTCTTGTTCTTCTTCTCGCGCCGCTCCGCAGGCGTCAGCTTGCGCGCGAGGTTCCGGTCCGCGTGCGCGCCCTCGCGCTCCTGTTGCTCGTTGCGCACTTGCTTCTCGAGCGCGGTCGGGTCTTGCACGGCGTCGGCCCCCATGACGCGCATAAAGTTGGAGATCTTGACCTTGTTCTTGGGTGGCTCCAGCAGGCCCTGCCGCACCAGCTCCTGCCGCTCCGCCTCGCGCGCCATGCGCGCCTGGTGACGCAGCTTCTTCTGCTCCTGTACAAGAACAAGAGAGCAAAGCGTTCAGCCCTTTCGCTTGTGGGGAGAGGAGAATCTCAAAATCCCTGCGCAGATATGCCCAAGTGGTGACGCAGCTTCCTCTGCTCCTGCGCAAGCGGAAATCGAGCAAGGGGTTTAGCGACCCTACAAAGGACAGGAAGTTGTTTCGCAAGAACTATCTGCATAACGACGAATATGCTGATGTGCGAGCCTGTTAACGCAGCTCCTTCGGCTCCTGCGCAAATAGGAAAAGCCAAAGATTTCGGCGGGTTGGCCGAGTCGTATTCGTTGCCCAGTCCCGGCGGAGAACGCATGAACATGCGCGCCTGGTGGCGCAGCTTCTTCTGCTCCTGTACAAGAACCAGAGAGCAGAGCGTTCAGCCCTGTTTGCATGTGGGGAGAGAAGAATCCGACTAACGCTGCGCACATATGCTTGTATGGTGCCGCACCTTTTCAGCTCCTGGGCGCAGGGGAAACGCAAGGTGTTCAGCGAAATTCCTCCAGAACGGATGGTTGTTGTTTCCGCACCCAACCATAGATATATAGTTAAATCCTGATCGAGGGCTCTGCGACCATCCGCGCATGGTGACGCTGCTTCCTCTGCTCCATGCGACGATAATGGAGGGCAAAGTGTGGAGCACATTCGATCAAAAGAATTGAGAAATCTGCAGTAAAGGAGACGCATTAAGCGGAGGCGCACCAACAAGCGAGCCTGGTGCCGCAGCTTTTTTCGCTGCTGCGCACGCAAGAAAGTCGTTCGCTCGTTCCTGGCCAAAATTGTTCTCGTCGCACGTGCTCCTAACCAACGGCACAACATGAGACAACGTTTCTTAGCACTCTCAACCCATTTGCCACAACGAGACCCGGCTCTGGGACATCCGGCTTGCGTACCTTTTTGGTGAGCTTGAGCGGTTGCGGCGGGGGCGGTGGCAGCGCGGTCTCCGGTTCGATGGGCACGGGGTGCTCTACGAGGTGCGTGATGCGCTCCTCGCGCAGCCGGAACTCGGACTCGGGGAGGTTACGCACGTCGGCGTACGTCCGCGTCAGCAGCAGGGGAGCGTCCCTGCAGGCAGCAAAAGAGGGGTGACGTCATCGACCTTGGGACTGTCAAGTGGTTGATCACGCTGGCGGGCGGAATCTCGTGTTTGCTAAGGCGCATTCGAAGGGGGCTCACTCTGGAAATATCAAAAGTCGATCTACCGGACTGCTCCTTGTTTTCGGCGGTGAATAATCAATCAGGTGCCCTGCCGAGTTCCGCTGGATAGTATTTTGGAGCGATAATTGTCGATAAAGGGACTTTACACAGGTAACAAACGGGTCTGCCGAAAGGATAGAAAGTTTCATAATGAACTTTTCGGCATCGAAGGTGCCGAAACCAAATAGCAGTACCGTAAACAGAGTCCACACTTGCAAGCAGTGGAGATCAAAGCATGCCGACTGCAGTCCTGGAGTGGTCAATGTTTAAGGACCGGGCACGCTTTTCACAGATCTTCAAGGGGCATGGACCTTGATAGCCAGAAAGCGAGAAACGCAATTGGGGCGAGACCACTCGAGACCCGCTAGCGGCAAGGCGACCAACTAAGTACCACAACAAAGAGAAAAGGGATTCCGTGGTGCGTACCACCACTCGACGTCGGGGATGGGGTCCTTTGGCTTCTCCTGCTTCTCCGGCACCGGGGCGCGCGCCGTGACCTCGATCAGATTGGGGTTCACCGCGGCCTGCTCGCGCTCCTTCTCCATCAGCGCCTGCCGCGCCTTCATCTCCTTGGCCTTCTGCTCCCCGAACTGGGCCTGCGAAAAGTGCAAAGCAACTTGCGATCAGCTAAAGGTGTTGCAAACTTAGCCAACACTATGATACTGTCTTTGAGTCACTTGACAAGAAGCTCTGGGTTCTCCCTTCGCAATAACTTCTTACTGGTAACTGCAAGCCTTGTCCATTGTTTCCAGAGGCGCATAGCTTCGCGAACCGCCACCCAACGTGCTTCAGCGTATGCGGTTGCTTTGCCGACCATCCAGCGTGCATGGCAATGCAAAAGGGACACGGAATGACTTGTCCAAACCGTTCGTCTACACAACATCATCTACTGCTCAACGCCCCACTCTTTGGGACGGCAACCTGTTGGTTTCGAGCCCTGCTACTTGAAGAATATGGAAAAGCATCGCTCCGTATCATTGGAGCGATAATGAACGGATGTTATCCAAAAGAGCAGCGGGGTAGAGGAGATAGAAACCAGAACCGTACCCGCAGTCGCTGCGCCTCTGCCTGCTGGCTCCACTTGCCCTCCTCCACGAACTGGAAGGCCGCGCGGCGCGGGCGCAGAATCTTCTTACGGTCGACGTTGAGAGCGGGGTCGAAGAAGGGGTCGTCCTCGGGGACTGCGTCCAGGTCGGGACGCAAGATCTTGAACTTGTCCTTCTTCGCCTTGTTGATGTTCACCTGGCAGGGGGCAACAACAATGTAAGCGTTTCGGTTCGCACAGAAAACGATGTGGACCAGGCTGATTTACCTCCTTCCGAAGCTTCTCGAACCTTATAAAGCTTCCGAACGAAAGACAAATCCTGAAACGGCATCGACAGGAGACAAGTAGGCAAGCTGTACAAGTGGAGTTCCACGAAATAAGCCACAAATTAGTCGTGAGCTTGCACCGCCGACACAAGGAGCGTAAAGTTGTCAAGAATGTCAGCATAAGACGAGCAGAACGGGACATGGCAAGAAAGCAACTGATGAATATCACGATGGAGCGCCAAATAAACCGGTTCTAGGGCTGGCAGCTGCGGACAGCATCAGATTGCGGGCCATTGCATCTGCTATCAGACAAGAAGATGAGCCTCAACCGATGGTACAAGTGCATCAAGCGGACCACCACTTTGCAGACGCCCCTACCTTCAGTTCACTGGGCGGCAGCTTCTTCTGTTCGACCACATTCCCCTCCTCGTCAATCTCCCGCCCCAGGTGATCCAGCCTCAGCACCGGCGCCTTGCTCGGCTGCGCAGCTTTCAGTGCCGCCCCTGCAAGAGCCCCCGCCGCCGCGGCCGCGGACAAGGATCCCGGAATCGCCAACCCCAGCATAGCGGCTCGCTGTTGTGCCGCCAGGAGAGCGGCGTTGGGGTCGGGAATGGTTGGCTGGACGGCGGGGATGACGGGGGGGAGGGGGACGCCAGGGACTGGTGGAGTGGCGACTCTGTTCAACTGCAGGACCGCGAGAAACGGGTCTCTGTATGCTAAGCAGTCATCGTTTGAACAGGGCACAATTTAGGCACGGCATAGCCGACTAGAACTTGAAGGAGACACGTTGAGAGGGATATGAGAATCACAGGCGCCTAAAAGCATGGTGACATTGTGGCTCTCCAAGATGCCCGTATCAGCAGTGTGGGCAGCGACTCCTATACGGGCATTCAGCATCCGGCCCGACAGGCGAAGTACATTGCCAGGGAAGATCTCAACCAGTTCTTATTGCAAACACTCGATGGTTTCCGCATAATCCAAGAGGTGCATCACACCGCCCAGCTCTGCCACATCTTGTTCCAGCAGAATAAGCCACTGGTCGCTTAGTGACGCTTTGGAACGGATGTAGGCTCCTGCAAGCTTCCACTCATCCAACTTAACTTAGAATATCTACACATTCGTAAGCCGTAGGCATGCCGTAAGCAGGCAGTAAGCAAACAAAACCCTTCAGGGAGCGCATTGAGCTTACCTGTGGCAGTCGTTTGAGGCGCTCTGCCAGCTCCTTCTGTTTCTGCAGCGCCGCCTTCGCCTTGGCTAAAGCATCCAGGTTCAGTGGAACAACCGCCACAGGAGCTGCAAACGGGAAACCTTGCTTCAACGAGCTGCTGACTGATCGCAAACCCATAACTATTGATGCACGTGTAAGCTAGTTTTAGCATCTGAACAGCCCAGCCAAGCAGAAAGCGAGCACTAAGGTACGTTCCATTTTTCACTTCTCCAGTAGCGAAACATCTGGCATAACATGGCAAATATTTGCCGCGAAGAAGCACGAGACATTCGGATGACTAAACTCGAAGCTCAAGAAACCAACCTGCTGGTGCAGCTGCGCCGACCAATCCACTCCCATTTGCCACCGCCCCCGTCCCAGGCGCCTTCTCGTCGCTGTCCCACCGCCTCCGCTTCCGCCGCTCCGTTCCCCCATTCTCCTGTGCCGCCACGTTCGGCTTCACATCCTCCTCCGCTTTCACAGCCGCACCGTCAGCCGCTTCCTGCTTCAAGACGTCCACAGCACCAACCGGACCCCCATCCGCCGGCTCCTCTTTGACCGGTCTTCGTTCCCTGCTGTCACCCCGCCTCCCTCGGTCCTCCCTCTCCTCCTTCGCTCGATGCCTCGGCCGCTCCTCGTCCCGGCGCCGATCGCTACCCCCGCCCGCCCGTTCGTCATGATACCGATCCTTGTCCTTTTCGTCGTAATAACGGTCTCTGTCCTTCTTATCATAATTGCTGTCCCGCCGCCCATCCCGGTCGTCCCTGTCTCTCCGGCTGCTGCGCTCATCGGCCTTCCGGTGCCGATGCTCGTACTCTTCCGACTTCCTTGACTTTCTAGGAGGGTCGTCTACATCCGCCTCCTCCCGCTTGCGTTTGCTGCGGCTGTCTTCCACATCAGTCATCAGGCTCCCACCGCGCCACACACAGCTTCGGCTGGTGGCACCAGGGGAATGAACTGCTTGAACAAAAGCAGGGTTTCTTATACCCTATGACGAACTCGCCAACTACAAATGAGCGGATCACTACAATTCACGTAAACATTCAACCTGAAGACGAGGTTGCAGATGACAGCGCGCTAAGTGCCAAAGGAAAGCCCTACTTTACCACAGCAAACCCAAGTGACCTCAAAACAAGAGATGAGGCCCTTCTTTCCGCAGTGCGCCCTAGCTTGCCTTCTTGCCTGCCAGCCAAATTCATGCAAGACCTAGCAAGGTCCTGAAGGAATCAGCCAGGTTTTAGGCTCGCAGCTTGTACGGCCGGTTGAAGACTCCGGCGGGGGTGTGACGTATCGCAAACCCCAAGTTGCCGCCTCGCTATCGACCGGTGCATTCTACCGGGCAAGTTGCAGGCACTTTTGCAAAGCAAGGGAGGGCGACTTCTCCTTCCTCTTTCCTGCTGCAGCAGACAGGCGTCTGGGGCCGCAGCTTGCATCGCACGTCAAGGCCCAAGGGAGAGGAACAGACGAGCGACCATGGGTGAGTGGCTGGGGGCTCCTCTACCCTCTGAGGTACAGGATCCATGTGGTTGGTTGCAGCATGGCGGTCCTGTCAAGGGCGGCCCGTCTTGAGTCGTTAGTTATTGCCTTGTGGTAAGGAAAGGGCTAGCCTTTCCGAAAGTATAGGAGCCTGACCCTGTTCGAACGGGAGCTCCGAAGGGCTGTAGCCAAGCTCTTGGGTATTGGTTTGAAGGTCTGTCGACAGCATTTTCTTGTGGAAGGAAGGTATCCTGGTTTGAACGGGTCACCATCTCGCTTTCTGTGCATACACGGTGTAACAAATTGGTAATGGTTGTGAACAAGTTTTTGTTGCTCAGCGGGGCAAGGGGCTCGGTAGAAGCCCGGAGCCACACCAGATTGTGAGCAAGTGATGCGAAGTTGTATGGTGCCCACAGATTGAGCAGACAGCTCATCAAAGCTTTCATTGGGCAGTCTCTATATCCCTACAGCTCTGAGTATAAATGTGGATTAGGCTCTTGACATGCAGTTGAGTAGATGATATGGTAACGGTGCCATGGTCGAAACTTATCCAAGCGTTTACACCTGAGTGTAGTGTACCGACTCTGCAAAGCCTGTAACAAGAGGCCCACGATAACGTGGGCTGAACACTTCCGGCAAACTTGAGATGGGTTTTGGTACAGGGCACTGTGCCTCGCACAATTGATAAGCAGTTAAAAACAAAAATGGCCCTGATATAGGTCGCAGAGGGCACGATTGGTTTTGATTCGCTTCTTGCATACAGCTCATGACAACTCATAGATAAGTTGGCCTCTAGCTCCACTTTGGGCCACTCTTGATGGCGCCTCGGCCTGATTGCTAGCCTGAATGTAAGGTTCCTTTAGGCAGCCGGTGTTGGGGGAGAGTCAACCGCTCCGGAAGGCAGGACTGGCCGCTGGGAACTGCCAAGACAGTTTGTCTACAGTTTGTCAAAGGGCTTGCCAGTATAGCGGTTTCTTTTCTGATCAAGTACTTCATTCTGATGCAGCCAAGATCAAGCCCCATGAGTTGAGGTCCAAGTCCAAGACGGACCTGCTCAACCAGGTGAGGGCGGCCTCTCTTCGGGGTTGCACTTACGATAGGATGGCGGGCATCCTTGTTTTAGGCACATGCGTTTGACAACTGGGTCTGGCTGGGTTTCGTAACCGTGATCGCGGCACCATATCTTGGGGATGTAGTGTCAAGACAGTGACTCCTATTCGTTGAACGTCCTCGGGAAAACTCTTAAGGAGCAGGTTGACAGCAGAGACCCTTGGTGGATGAGTTGAAGTGTTGTGGGGACTTTTTCATTAATGTATGCGGCGGACCTTCGGACGTGGGCCGGGGAAAGCCTCACCCTTAGAAGATTTTCTTCATCTTCATGTGGCGCCAACGATTCGTACACAAGTACAGCATCCTTTCCGGTCTCTTTCAGTGGCCTGCCAAATTCTAGATAGGGAAGAGAGAACGTTGCACTTGCCAGCGCAGCTGCTCTATTCCCCATGACTGTGTCTGGGTTGTTGTAGGCATACCCTTCTGGGCCACTTTTGAGGCCTCGACCTTTGGCATCAAGCTTCTGCTCTAGCAAGCGGACTCTAACGCGTTTGTATTCTGAAGAGTACAAATTGTCTGATCTTTAGGTGTGTTGCGTTGGCTTTGCCGCGTTGAAGGTGTACGTGCGCAAATAGTCTGACTTACATCTCCATTGGTAGATCTGGATAAGAGTGGACTACAGAATTCATGGGTTGGAATCCTAGTTTCTCCAGCGAATGTACAAGATTGCGGCTGTCATCGTCCCGTCCAGATGAAGTGGGCTTTGCCTTTTGTCAAGATCTTTACGTGCTTCATGGACAACGAAGGCACACGTGTATGTGGACAAAGAAGGCACAAGTGCACGCTCTCTTGGCAACGGCACGAACTGGTCCTGACATCGCGGTTTGCGTTGGTGCAGCTCAAGGAGCTGAAGACGGAGTTGGCTGCCCTCAGGGTCGCCAGGGTCACTGGAGGAGCCCCCAACAAGCTGTCCAAGATGTGAGTAGCATCTTCAACCGAACTTACCTCGGGTTCGCGTTGGTTCGTTCTCGACTGATCTTGCATCCGGCGCTTAGCTCGACGAGCTTCGACCAAACCTTTTGAAGCTTGCCGGTGGAGTGAATTGCCCTTTGTTCGAAGAACCATTGGGCATCATGTTCGGTCCACCTTCTGCGATCAATTGCAGGCAATTACATGCCGAGTCTGGCGCTCAGATCGTTTTGGTTGAGTGCACACGGCCTTTTTGGCAGCTCGCTAATTGTCAGGTTGATCAAAAGGCCAGCAGAAGTGCTTGATACTGCCTGCGAAGGGCGCTGGCTCTGGCGACTGCTTTAGAGCTAGAGTTTCCTGAAAATTCTTGCATCACATCCCCTCTGAGCCTCCTTTTGCCGTTCGTGCAGCAAGCTGGTGCGGTTGTCAATCGCCCAGGTGAACACGGTGATCAGCCAGACGCAGAAGAAGGAGCTGCGCTCTGCGTTCAAGGGCAAGAAGTACCTCCCCCTCGACCTCAGGACCAAGAAGACGCGCGCCATCCGGAAACGCCTCACCAGGCACGAGGTGCGCGCACCATCTACCGCATCTGAGGGTGCACTTGTGTTTGTGTTCCTTGGTGGAAACGCCTTGTGTGCTTCGATGCAGCTTATGCCTATCAGGCAGGGACTGTTTGTGTGCTCATTCTTTGTTCGTGTAACTCTATTTCATGTAAGGGGCGGCTCTGCACAGGGGATGGATGCTGTAGACTTTTTGTCGTCCTGCGGGTGGAAGGTTGCCGTGCCCTCAAGAATCTGATTCTGGAGTATCTTGGAGGGCGTCAGATTGCGACCTTTGGATTGGGAGGTTTTCAATTAGACGGAGGTGTCTATATACAAATCTTGCTGCATCTGCTTCTCTTGGGATGCATTGATTGTTAGACAGTGTCTTATGGTCGGTTGCTGAGTGGATCTCCTCTTATTCTGCAGGCCTCCCTGAAGACTGCCAAGGAACAAAAGAGGGCCGCTTATTTCCCCCAGAGAAAGTACGCTGTCAAGGCTTGAAGTCGTAAAACATTGTTTTCCGCTCGATCACCTCCTCTGTCGGCTCCCTGGTCGCTCCTGCATGCATGCTGTGCTCTTCCATGTTGTCCTGGCGTTCTTTGATGATCAGCCATCGTTGTATGGCCGGGGCTCTGGGTCCTCAAGTCCGGTGTTGTACGCTTGACTGCGATTCTCTGCACGAAACCCGTGGGACGGGACAAGGGTCCGCTCATGCACGTTGAGCACCTACACGATGAGGTTGTGCCGGGGTCTGGTCACGTGGGGCCTTGGAAGCACTTTACTTGGGAACTTGCCAGGCACGGCCGCCTGCTATCATGTAAGCATGCCCGCTGAAAAGAGCTGATGCATGTGGATGCCAATCTGTATCCGTGTATGCGGCAGCCATGCAGCTAATATATCCGATCCTTTAAGGTACTGACGTACGCAAGCACGGCTGCGTGGTCGGAAGTACGTTGGGCTGGCGCCATTAAGAATTAATTTTGGCATGTTTTCCGTATACATAGAAGAAAAAAGTGTACATTACATGGTTCAACGGTTTAGCTCCGAGTGCAACTTAGCATATAATCGATGCATTTGCAGTTTTTGTTGAGAATATTGCGCATGTGCCCGTCGGTGCTCAGACGGTGCACGGGCCTGGCTTGCATTGCTTAACGTAACCTGTTACATGGCCGTACCCGGCATCCATACTGTGCGCTGTGACATTGAATAGTAAGCGGCTATAACTTCTATATATATGTACCGCCGTGTAACCAGCAAGAATAGTCAACGAATGACTGTCACTACGTGTACGGCAAATGGTGAAATGAGTACCGTTAACGTGCAATTTGGATGGCCGTCTCATGCGCAGGCATGCTCTCAATCCGAAATTCCTTAACTTAGTAACGAAGTCGGCCGCGCGCAGCCTGCCACTCAATTCGACCATAAGTTTGGGCCCAGCCGCCCGGCACTGCAAGGCTAGCTTACGTCCTCGGTACAGGAGGAATGTAACGTAGCTTGTGATATGTTAACAATTAGCAATTAGCAATTGCCGCTTTGAGTACGCGTGTTCCATAGTATTGGTTGGAACGCTACGTTCTACGAGCAAGTCGATTCGTTCAAGTTGCGCTGAGTCACATCGATTAGAATGCAGACGCAAGCTAGCTGAGCCTGCATCGAGTCAGATGCTCATCTGAAAGAACCGTCCTTTCCTGTCATTACATAGATCAACATTCTCCGTCGATCTCCGTGAATAATCATTCCTATTGTTACATCATCCGACTCTTTCATACTGTATGCATGCCGTCTTAATGGTCAGCGATTGGCAACCCTGCGCCGCGCAGCCAAGTTCACATAAAGAGCCCGCATTTGCAGCCGGGCGTGCCGTGAGCATTGGTGGTGCTCCCTGTGATGTCGAGGTAGGCCGCGCCGCACTTGTAGCAAAAGCCCGCCCCGCACTTGCACCGCATGAAGTTGCACCCGTTCTTGCGCTCGATCATGTTGTGGCACCTGGACACACACCCAAGCATGAATGTTGAGCACGAGGGAATGGCCTGCGTGATGCTAAAGTTGACCGGATCGAAGCCTTACTTCTTTTCGCAGAACTCACGGAAAGGGAATTCTAAGACAGACAGCTGGAACGAGCTCCGAGCTGGGCGCTTGAGACAAATATAAAGTAAGGCCAGAGCGTCGTCATGAGAGGGGTTGAAATTAGAGTGAAAAGCGAAGAGCGGGGTTCGTCCACAGGCTTCAGCACCTTAGCCCCACTCTCGATATCCCGGATTATCCGGGAGACTCAGCTTTTGCCGCTTGCTTTTCGAAGCAATCCTCTCGCAATTCAGACCTCGCAAGAATCAAGAGCACAGTCCTCGCCTCATGATCGCGGTACGGGTGTACGTAAGAAGGTGTGTCTCGTCACGTCGTTTGGCTTCTACATACTCGACTCTGAGAACCACGATTTTTTCAGACCTGATTTTGCAAAGTTTAAACAGTACTAAGCTCTTCAGATACTTTGCCAGATCAGCAGAGCCGATGTCCACGACGGCGGAGTGTAACACCTCAAACCGTAAGAAAGCGCAGGCGGCTGTGAATAAGTAAGGTGAGACTCCTTTCGCCGCGACTCGCAATTCTCTGACCGCAACGTCCACGTCGACAAAGTTAGGGCGAGAAGGGGCGCAAAAGCACGAACTTGCGATTATGGTTCGCGGCTGGCTAGCGGGGTGTGCTCACTTGGGGCAGGGCTTCCAGTGTTTCTTTTTGGCGAGCACGTGCAGCGGCTCGTCCTCCTTGGCGCTCTGGAACTGCGCGCACGTCTGATCCGCGTGCCACGCCACGCGGCACTCCCGGCAAAACACGCGCCTGCAAGCGGGCAACGGCAGTCAGGTGGGGCTCCCTCGAATTGGGCCGAGGATTGGCGACACTGCACGACCTTCTTATTCTCAAATCTGAGGTCCTTATCCGAGCTAACGAGAGACGCCTGGAGCGGGAAGATTTGTCACGTTCTCGAATCTCAAACCGTACATTCGAGATAGCGAGGGACGTCTGGAGCGAGATGATTGGTTCAGCGGGTAAGTTTGACAGAGTGATCATCGAACCGGTGTGAATAGGGGTATCCAGCACCTTGAAGACCGCTGCAGCCGTTTGGAATCGCCACGGAAGTGGCCTGACGATTTGTAGCGGGCTCAATCTATGTCGTCCAAACGGCAACTTGGGCAGACATGTAGGCAGAGCAGCAGGGTCACGTCCATAAAGAAGAGAGAAGACCCCAAACAATGCAATCAAAAGAAGCGAAGCCCTTTCGTGGCCTCACTTGCAAGAAGCGCAGATGGAGTCGGGCCCCCTCTCATCCTCGGCGCAGTCCATGACAGCAGTACAACCATCGAAGGGGCAGTACACCTGGCGGATGACAGGGATTGAAGTCAAGCATTTGTAACGGTTACGGCAATCTCGATGTGGTAAAAAGCAGGGAGCACTCAACCGTCATACAGCGGCCATGGGTGATTTGCGCAGCCGGCAAGCCTGCCTCAGGAAGTTCTGGCTGCTAACCAGGCTGACTACCAGACATGAGTCTTAGGTTCCTGAAGAGGTAACCGGCCGTCAATTTCGTTCCGTTGCTGGTTATCGTCCAAGTCTGGTGATTGGACGTAGACTTACTTTCTGACCAGCCCATAACCAGCCCAAAACCATCCATGGTCAATGGCCAAAGGTTCCTGTAAGCGGTGATTAACCGCAATGGACAAAAGACCACAGCCCTGCTACGAAGCAAAGTGTTTTGCAGTAACCGCCGCCGGAGTTTGTGTCAGTCGACGTACCTTGGTAGTGATGCTGGCCTCGGCGAGCAGCTGCAGGTAGACCTGCGTCTCCTTGTCGCCCAGCAGCCACTCCACGTTCTCGAACGGAAACACGGCGGGGCAGCCCTCGGACGCGCGCGTGCACGGGATGCGGGGCGTGCGGTCGTCCATTACCTGCGACAGGGGAAAAGCGAGGGTGAAAGCTGCCAATTTTGCTGAAGGAAGGTGGTTTTCAGCGGAGGGTTTTTCAGAAAAGAACTGCCGAACGTGCAGTTACAAACGTCGACCTGAGGGTTTGAGTGTTTAGCCAAAGACGGTGATACAGGGAGGTAAAGGTCAGTGGAAAGAACAACTCCGCAAAAAGGTGGAGAACTTAGAAACTTGGAGCAAGAAAAAAATTGAATCGCATGCCAAGAACACAATACGGTCGCCGTTTGAACACGTGCACGCTTCGTCCTCAGGGACGTCATGGCTGTTGACATCTTCGTTCTGAACCACTTGGCCGCTTATCCCAACGACGAGCTGGAAGCTGGGACGTTGACGTATTCCAAAACCTCAAAGTTGCACAGACGGCAGCTTTACTGGGCTGTCCATGCTTTTACGCTTTCACTCGACTTTCACCCGGCTCTCAGAACCGGGAACATCTCCATGCAGATGAACTTCATTCTCGTGTTCAGCTGAATCATCTCAATATGGAAGAAAGGTGTTATGAAGTTTGTACCGGACCGCCGTCTTGATAGGCTAGACTGTTTCGAGCGCCAGGGCAGTCAGGGACCGGGGCCCCACCTTGACTGTGGCGTACTGTCGCAGGCAGTCGATGCAGTGCCAGTGGGAGCACGTGCCAGGTGGCAGGCCAGGGGCAGGGGAGTCGGGACCTACAGGAAGCAGCCGGGCTTTGTGATTAACCCTTTGCTCTACGGTAGATAAAGACGAAGGGTCTCTCAGTGCCTGAGGAGAAGCTGGGAAGAGAACGAAAGGAGGCTTGCACGGCAGCCGTCCGCGGGTGCAATACTTTGGAGCACGAACTGTCTAGCGACGCTGTTGAACGACAGTCATGCAGATAGCTTCTCGATCTTACAGCGCTGGGGCGCCTTGCTTACCTGCGGCCTCCTCTCCGTTTCCCCCGTCCTCCATTGCAGTAGTGTCGTCCGCCGCCACGCAGGGAGCGATGCAGTCCTTGGTGGCCACTTCCTCCAGGCAGATGCTGCAAGACGAGGTAAAAGCCAGAGAAGGGGGGTCGCCTTGAATCCAGGAGGGGGAAAGCCTCGCAGCTTGGCACTCTTTGACGGTAGTGCTCCTTCTAACGGACTCTCAGCGAGGTAAGCATCGGGCGTTCAAAGCTCTGCTTTTCTGGAATACAATCTAGGCTTCATCGAAAAACGATGCTTGTTTCAGAAGCAGCAAGAAAATATAGCCGTACTAATCACTTGAAGACAATCAAAAGCTTTGGATGTGATCATCCTATGCCAAGCAAGACCCTGTGTCACGACACTGAGAGAGCGCAATGCTCACGAGTTCCTTTGACAGGTCCTTCAAACTCTGGGGGTAGCATCCAAGCAGCACGCATCTCAAACGAGGCACTTTCATGACAAAGCCGGAGTCAGGGGTTAGCGCCCAGCGTACCAGCACTCGACGAGCTGGTCCTGCTCTGTTGCCGCAGGCCAGCCGTTGTCTCGCTCTAGTTGCTCCGCCATCTCCTGGTCAAACTCCTCTTGCAGGCTGGCGCTCAGCCGCCGGTCGAGCTCCGTATCACGGTCCTCCTGCGCATACGCCGCATACACCGCCATCGCCTCTACCTCGCCCTGCAAACTCTCCAACTCGAGGTCGCCCAGAAAGGGCCCAGACTCCAGAAGCAGCAGCCGGATGTTCTCCAGCCTAGTTAGCAGGGGCTGGTGAGCGGGGTCTGCGTCTTGCATAAGCAGCTGGGCAGTCAACGCGTCTTGCTTGTCGAACAGCTGCTGGACGGCCGGGGGGAGGGGCGCTCGCGGGCGGTGCCGGTGGAGCACTAGGGGGGCGGGCTCCGCTTCGTCCACCTCGAGGTCTGCAGAAGAGATGGGCAAACTTTGTGGGAGCATTCAGGCAGAGGTCTACAGGACGTGTGCGGGAAGGACAAGTTGCGACAAGACCGCTCCAATAAGCTCAACCCTGTTTTTAACCAGGTTAAAGTCCACCCGGGACCTCCATTTGTTCGGTGGTTGGCTTTGTCACTCCATGGTGAAGAAGACGTGACCAGCAACACAACCCTAATGTGAACCTAGACCCTGAACAATAACCGTACTTTTACCAACATGATCAGTGGTAAATTCCGAATCTAGGTAATGGGTAATCTTCAAGCCAAAGATATAGTCACAGGCCTTTTGACTGCTTCTTTCGACCTCAGATTCCCACCCTGCCCTTAGCAAATATAGTCGCAAGCTCACCCTGATCTTGTTCTAGATGCCCCACTGCAGGGGGATCCCTCTCCTCCAACACTGTCGCGGGCTCTCCGCTTGTCCCCAAAGCCCCGCCTGCCTCCACCATTTGAGAGCATTTTCCATTAGAGGGTCCAGCCTCACCGCGCTTAGATGCACCTTCTTCCAGTGTCCCTCCGACAGGCGTACGTTCTGTTGTGGGGATCGCAACTGCAGTCAGAATCTGATGAAGCCGGCCCACCTGGCTACCACAACTCTCTCCGCCACCAGAATGATGTTCGTTGCTGGCAGGTGCCACCAGGGGGCTCCCCCGCTGTGCCTGGCAGCGGGGAGGGCAACAGCCGCTAGTATTTGGTCGTACTTGCTCATGGGAATGTGTGGGCTGTCTTCTCCGGAGGGGTTGTCAGGAAGCTCATGTGCCTTTCCCTTCAACTTCGACTCTTGTTTCAGATCACACTGTGGAGGCTCAACTGCCACTGTGTTGATGTGACAGCTGCCTGTCTGCTGAGTGTCAGCCCCCCTGGCTGCTGCCCTGTCACTGTGAAACTCAGTGTCCGTCCCAGTAGGCACTGTCAGTTTCCCCATCTGATCTACCCCCTGAGGGGTTGCTGGAGAAGGGAGTGCACAGCTCCCCTCTCGCTCGCCCACCTGCTCCAACACACCCACCGCTTGCTCCTCACCGCTGCCACTCTGTTGAGCCAAAAGTCGATCGTGTGTGCCTTGCGCAACCACACCTTGCCCATGTGCACCTCGCTCCTGATCACCATGGTTCACACGGCGGCGATGTGTAACATCCAGACCAGCTCGACCCCATTGCTCAGCTGGGGCTATGCCAGCGCCGCCTGCTTGTTCGGCCAGTAATGTCAGCACAGCCTTCCCCTGGGGAGGATGCCCAGGGTTGGTCTGGGGAGCTTCTGGGTCCGCTGTGGCCCCCGCAGGTGCGGCAAACAGATTTGGGTAAGGCCCTGCTTGACCCCTGTACAAATTTTGAGCAAGGGAAAGGGGCACCACGGTTGCGCTGGGTTCCAGCTCTTCACGGGGACTGTGGCCCTCATCAGACCAGTCAAATTCTGCATCATTTGTGGAACGCTTCTTTGACTGGATCAAGGACTTGGCCTTGGCCTTAACTTTGGCCCAGGAAGGCATTTTTTGAACTGAGCGGTCAACAACATGTGGAGAAAACTGCGCGCTCAAGATGTGTGCGATGCCCGCGCATTGCTTTTAGTGCTTTGTTTTTGTGCAGCGCGTGACGCAACGGAAACCTTCTTTCGCGACGGTTGTCTAAGCATTCCCTTCAGTCCCACTTATTGAGTTCCTGTCTGCAGGTCGAACCTGGCACCAACATGCCCACAAAACCCTTCTCCCAAACAAGTTCTTCCCATGGAATTGCCAGGACGATGTTCCTTAGGGAGCAAACAAGTTCTTCCCATGGAATTGCCAGGACGATGTTCCTTAGGGAGGACTGTGGTCGTACATGTTGCTGCAAAGCTGCTAAATCTGCCAAACTTGAACAAAACCATTTGTAAAGACGGCCTGATGGACCGTAAGTCACGGTGCATGCATGCTACACACCGTATACCTATAACGACGCAGAAGGAGGGATCCCTCATGCGCAGAATTTTGCTGCCGGCCGCTTTTCAACTCGCGTGACGGGAACTTGTAGGGGCTGGCACATTGGCTGGGGCGGTCGACCCGTTTGAGAAAACGGCAGCGGCAACGCCTGGAGTAGGAACTCCCCCTGGAATCTTACCATATCGCGGGGGTACGTACCTTCAACTTCCCCTTGGGCTTTTGAAGTTCGAGATTGATCAGTCTTTCCTCCTCCAGCTTTCGGAGTTTAAGCTAGAATCCGTAAGAGAGCAGACCCTTGAAGTTTAAAACCTTTTAGCCAAAGCGCCAGCAGAGCCAGAATCTGTTCTGTGCACCGCGCAGGGTGGGCCAGACTTGCAGCGCTGTGCAGCAATGGCCAGCAAGAACGGGACCGCCGGGAAGAGGGGCGATGCAGCTGCCATTTTTGCTGCGGGGTCGTGCTCCGGGATGATCACCAGCAGCGTGCTGCAGCCACTGGACGTCATCAAGACACACCTCATGGCAGAGCACCACGCAGGGCGCACCGGCAACAGGTGCGACCCCAGCAGGCAGCGCAAGTTTATGCCTCATTGCCTTGGTCACCAAGGTGCAATTCCCACGACTGCCAGGGTCTGCTAGCGTTTCTTACTGATTTTGGGCATTCTCTTTTCCTGCAAGAAAGAGCTTGGAGCTTTTTCTGCCGACCGGCGCTGTTATCACTGCTCAGTTAGGCGGCAGGGCATGGCCAAATACTTTCATTGCAGTTACTTTGACTCTGAGCTGTCATCGATCGAATGTTCCTGCCAGCTGTGGCCACCAACCTCTGAAGCAGCGGTTTCCATCTTAGTCGCAGCCATCATTGCGCTGAGCCACCTTGGGAACATGCAGCGAACCCGCTTTGTTGATCTTGCAGGGCCAGCCCACTGTCGTCCAGCTTCGCTATGGTGGTCAGGGAGATCGTGCGCAAAGAGGTACGCTTTCAAAGATGCAGTCCACATGGGAAGTGATTAAACATCCAACTTTCAGAGTTCCTTTGAGCAGCAGAAGCTTGGGATAGAAACCTGCAAGGGGAGCAGCCTCCTCGGACGTGGCAAGTTGTATGACCATCAGACCAGAGACTTTGCCAGCAAGTTGCCCCTTGAAGAAACCATGCATCTTTCCTTTTGAGTCAGCATCTGTCCTCTGGGATCGGAAATGCTCTTACAGATGAGACGGACTATTTTGTCTTCTCTTTGTGAAGTGAAGGGCTCTAAGGCCCGTCGCTTGCAGCTGCGATGATTGAGTTCTGGTGCTTCACTGCCAAAAGAGACCCAACATACCTCAAGACAGTGAGCGCTAATCCCCGGCCGTTGTTGCAGGGTATACTAAGCCTGTGGCGCGGGACAGGGCCCACTGTGCTGCGGGTCGGCCTCGGAGCGGGGCTCTACTTTCTGATGCTGGACAGGGTGATGACCGGCATGCGCACACTGCACGAGACGCGGCAGCAAGCCGCACACACTGCAGCGCTTGAGAGAGAAACTTTTGGCAGACCAGCGCCAGTAGAACAGGACCGTGGAAAAGATACTTTAGAAGTGTTAGTATCTCCACAGCAAGAGTTGCGGGAGATAGAGCAACTGTTGCCGTCAGAGGCGAGCACAAGTGGGCGGGAAAGCGGAACAAGTGAAAGACAAGCGGAAAAGCGTGCGGAAGCTGGGGGATCCCTGCCGGCGCTGTACACCATGACGGCGGGCGCTGTCACGCGGTCGACTGCTGCAGCACTGCTGTGTCCAGTGACAGTGGTCAAGACCAGGATGGAGGTGAGGACCTGCAAAATCGGCTCAATGGTTCATAAATTGGGCTCCTCTTTTGTTGTTCTTTTGGATGATCGTATCATCAAACGAAAGTGGCTGGAGACACAAAAGTGAGACCGGCCCCTCTCCGAAGGTTCGGGGCGGGGGGCGATGTTCGATAAGTCGGAGGTCATCATTACAGATTGTGATGATATTGAAGTTGAATCACCGTGAGTTCAACCTACAAGGACATACTAGAAGATCACGGCGAAGGTGAAAAAGGAAAACTCCAAGGAAAGCCCTGGCTCGGATGAACCCGCCATTGCCCTTTCCGACTACCCAGGTGGTACGAAAGCATTTGGCGAACAGGACAATTTGGTAGTCTATGTTTCCTCGGCTGCCTAGGCTGGACGCCTCCGACCCTTGCGTGTGCAGTACTCGGCCGTGACGGGCCACGTGTACCGCAACACTTTCCATGCCGTCGAGAGCATCTTCAGGACAGAGGGCGTCAGAGGTAAGGCAATGCTGGGAAGGTTAGGATACAAAGTCACTGCTTCTTCGAGTTCGTCTGCCTGCCACACCAGTCGTGCACTATTCTGCCCGCAATTTCTGCAGCATGACAGACGTGCTCCAGTATTTGCGAAGTATCAAAAAAGCCACTTTGGAGCACGACGGCGCTTCCAGAAACCTCGAGACCCTGTAAAGCGAGGGTACGTCGCTGGTTTTGGGCGCCTCAATACGTCCCTGGCTTTGGACGCCTCCGTACATCAGTAAGGCCCCGTTGGTTGAATCGTCGACTCGTGACGTGTGACGCTGTGCCCCTCATCTGTTGCGTCACAGGTTTGTTCAGCGGGCTAGGCCCGACGCTGCTGCGTGATGCGCCCTACTCGGGGCTGTACCTGCTCATGTACGACAAGACGCGCCGCGGCCTCAGAGGTACCGCCGCCGCCCTCCTGCCGCCGGCCTCGTCTCTGACAGCAGCTTTCGCACTTCCATCTAACGGCGCTCCGAATCTCAACTTCGTAACTGTAGTACAATCGTAGCAGAAGCCTATAGGCAGAGAGAAAATTTGGAACAATGCAGATTATTTGACACAGATAGCCCGTAGCATGCGCGAAGTTCGCTTCGTCTTGGTTTAGCAGGCTGGTGGAGCGAGCGTGAAATGGCTCGGATCGTTAATGCTCACAGCCATCTGGTCTGCTGAGGAACACTTTGGCCCAAAGTCTAGAATTGGATAAGGTCGAGGGCTACTCCTTTCTTCCTATGTCGTGATCGTTCAGTACTGCACACATCCTGCAAAGACACTGTTTTCTATCCCTGCAGACCTTCTACCCGCTTCGACTTCGCAGGTCTACATCAACTTCATGTCAGGTGCGGTGATAAGACGACTTCGCATGTTTTGGTTGCTTTCGGCAGCTCGAAAGTGCGTCGTGGGATACAGGGCGTCGATGCCATCTCGAACCTCCATTGGTGGCCTTTTGTTCGTCTGCGGTTGCTCATCTGAGCCTGCCCAGTACTTGCTGCGCAGGGGGCCTGGCTGGGGGCGGGGCCACCCTGGCAACACACCCCCCGGACGTGGTGAGACGCGCTTCTGTCGTCCTTTGATCCGGTCTTTTTTGCTGAAGAAAGACAGTACCATATTGGGCAACGTGCAAGTGCTGATTGCTTCGGGCGCAGGTCGATGTCGTCAAGTCGTTGTCCCCAGCCAACGACATAACGGCCCTTCGTCTTGATGATTGGCCTTCAGCGGCTCCCGCCCTGTGGAGTGTTTTCCGTTTCGTCTATTGGCAGGTTGACGCAGGAGATCCATCAAGGTGGGTGCTGCGTTTGCGTGTCAATCTTCTGCTGCGGCAGCCTTCGGAGGAATTTTTGTAGTCTCTCTGATCACCCTACGGCGCTTTCAATATGTCTCGCACGTCTGCAGGTGCGGACCCGGTTGCAGCTGTCGTCGAGCGGCAACAGGCGGGGAGCCCTGGCCACCGCCCGGCACATCGTCCAGGTGAGCACGTGCACCGGTAAAACCCACACTATCGCAACATCGTGTTTCACCTTCTTCGGCATGCCGTCAGAGAGTCCCGCTGTACGGAACAATCACCTGTGTGGACGGACCAGGCGCCTTACTTACGCTGTCAACAATGTGCCGCTTCGCTTGCTGTACCTTTTCGTGATTCATCTCGTGTACGTCGTGATGTTTGCGCAGACAGAAGGAGTCTCGTCGCTGTTCGCCGGGATAACGCCGCGGGTCGCCAAACGCGCTATGCAGATGGCGCTCACATGGTGAGTCTCTGAAAACGCTGATTGGAAGGATCGACTTTCCTCGTCAAATATGGATCCGCTTCAATATCCACTCACAGAATCTCTTACAGAAAGGCCCTCTCAATTCGTGAAGAAGTTTATCAGTCAGTATAGTGATCTCGCTCACAAAATCTCTAAATGAGTGGCCACGCTGAACAGTGCCAGCCGGAGCGAACAATTGCTTTGAACGGTACCCCCTATTTGCAGGTCTTTATACGAAGAGCTTACTCGAATCTTCGTGAAACGAAGCATATGGGGGTCCAAGGAAGTGGGAAGGCAGGGGGTCAGCTGACGTGTGAGCAATAATGACAATCTTTAGCATCGCTGAGCTGGGGTTGCAATCAGGAGTGCCGTTGACTGGGCGTGCTTAAAGAGTCTTAGCTTAAGCGCATTTCAACAGCGTTTTTCACAGACGGGTTCTTGATATAGAAAAGCTGAGTTTTTCATCAACTTTGATTGATCGTTGATCGTCATTGATTGTGTTCAACGTTCCGAAGTAAGATAAGCACCGTCCTTACATCTGTGTACGCATTATCATCTTTTATTTTGTCTTACCTGCAGGTAAGACAGATCATGATCATGATTGTACTTGGGCACCGCGCTCGATGTTTGGCCAGGCTCGAGCTAGCCGATCATAGATTTCAACCGTTGCATGACTAATTCCTACACATTGAGAACGCTTCGTGATCTATAAGTGCACAATCATGCACATGGCAGCGCGGAGCGCTAATTAAGTTTGATCAGCATGCTGATGCACGTACTAAGACGGGTTATATAGACATCCCGCGGCGGCGTGCTTTGGGCACGTGCATGACGGGGCCCGGCTAGCTGGGCGCGCGCCAACAGGTAATCAATTTGTCAAAGACTCTGGTTCCAAAAAGTATTGAATGATACATGCACACAACCTTTGAATTTAGTACGTAATTACGGTATGCATATGATTACGTACACGTACATGTGGTGCGGATCTCGAATAATATTCGCCATATACTTCTTATATTTCGCGCGGTGCTAGCTAAATCTGATTTATATTTTTGGAGTATGATGCTGTACAGGCATCATAGTACGTGCGGTGATCATCATATTGAGGTCACCGAATGTGCGAGTCGGACCTTCAGTATCATTCATTAATTGCATATGCATGATATTCATCGAAGTCGACTGCATGCAACGTAATGCGGCGCAAGTCAATTACTTAATTTTGTACGTATCGCCGATACGCTGCGGCGCGCCCTGCTGTTCAATGGCTACATATGATGCTTATATGTGGTCCAACAACACGGGGCGCGGGTTGCATTTTCACTATATGTAGCTAGCTTCGCAATTACGTTAAAAGTATTCCAATTGTGCATGCATCATCGACTAAACCTTAACAATGCGGTGGACCGAACTTATTGGCATTTTCAAATGATCAGCCCTAGCTAGTCGTCGAGCATGTGAGCTGTAGTATTGACTAGTATATATAGCGAGAAATTGCCTGCTCGAGATCTTCCGACGATCCAATACTTCAATACTAAGCTCAGACCCGTGCATGCTGCGCCACATCATTGGCCATGGTGCCAGGATATTCATGACAATGGTAGACGGTTGCAAATAGGTAATACATACTTTTATTGCTTTAGTGTCCCTTTGACGCCAAGGCCTAGATTGATCTCGCAAGCTGATCAATGAAAGATACGTCGCAATAAATATGATTGCCGCCTCAAATCGATGATTGTATTTCTTTCAAGTTTTGTAGCGGCCTTTATCCGAGCTCCCGATAGCCTATACAAAATCCAAGCTCACATGACTGAATCTGAAGCTGAACTGAACGTGTTAGTTGCAACCACTAAATTGCAGCTTCTCACCAGAAACCCCGAGATCAATCTGCAATTTCTGGGGAATACCCACTTTCTAGAAGCACCGCCAAAGGGTGAAAGATAGGATCAGGAATCTGGCCCCACTCTATCCAATGCCATCCTTCGCATTTGTCCTTCTCTAAAAGGAGGGCCGTTTGATCTTCCTTGTCTTCTTTGCCTCTCATGAAAATGGTGATATAGTGAGAAGGCTTCTGATCGTGTAGCCGAATGCTGGAAGACAGCAAAGGTGAGGCTTCACAACAACACAACGAACAGAACGCAGGCAGGGCAAAACTACAAAAACACTACTGATTTGATTGATCAAGAAGTACTCAACATAGGAGACAGCATCAAGCAAGAGGCTGAGATCTTAATAAGATTGTCAATGAGGAGGATTGAGGGTGTGGTGGCATAAGAAATGTCAAGAAGCCCACCTGTTCGTGACCGATTCAAAGCGTAGCTTATGGATACTTAAGCCTGTCTCCTCCTCAACTTCACGAATAGCACATTCTTCCCAAGTTTCACCTGTTCATTGAACAAAGCAGATTACAACATATCAAGTGTGTGCACCACTGACACTATATAGGCACGATTTTTTGAACAAAACAGGAGACTACCTTCAAGTGGCAGAAAGAAGCACCCCCAGCTACATTAAGCAGACAATCAATTTGATGAAAACTTCTCATTCTTGTTATACATGTGCATTCAGAGCTCCTTGTCAACCTGAGAAAGTTGAGGGCCTATGTTAACGCAGTTGCATACCGAACTCCAAGTGCCCGCCCGGCAAAGCCCATGTACCACCACCATTTTGCCCGATGCGTTTGCCTACCAGGACCTTCCTGCAAAGAAGAGGCGAGCTGCAAAGCTTGAGATGGTGAAACTTTCTTCATCTTACGATTCACTGTGACGGAACTGTAGCTGCAGTGTTTGAACTCACTGATAGCCTCACCAGTAGCAAGGCAGTTGACAAACTACAAAACAGCCTGATTGCAGCTCAAGGAGAATCTGTGACAAGACGCAGTGACTGGTCAAGCAAGGCACTCCTGTGACCCACCTGCCTCTGAATATAAGCACACCAACACCAACTCTGGGGACTCTCAGCTCCGCTGCTTCATTGTGAGCTGCCATGAAGTTCTGGAAGTTGAGTTGACTCTTGGACGCTCTCCGGAAGCTCAAGCTATAACAGCAGATTCTGTGAGCCGTGTGGTGAACAAACACTTCTGCCTAGACTTGGCAAAAGATAGAGAAGGGGAATGGTCAAAGCTTCTTGCTGTCTGCGTCTGAAATAACCAACACCTGTTGACAAGATCTGCTGCCACTAAGTACTGGCACTGGCGAGTGCCTGGCAGCTCTTGAACCTGAACTTGAAGTTGATCGGCTATAAGCCCATGAAACTCAAGAAAAATAATAGTAAGCCCAGATAATAGTAAGGTAACCGCACTGTGACGGGTAGGGTTAGTATGGTGGCTAGGGTGGGTACGGGTGGGGAGCGGGTGTTTCATTTAAGGTTAGGGTTTTTAGTGTTAGTCGGAGCTTACTATTATCTTGGCTTTAACTATTGTCTTTCTTGAGAGTTATTGAAAGCCCACCGGGCGCCTGAGGCTGTAGCATGTAAAACCTGCGGGCGCATGCCGGCCGCGAATGAGATTCAGGTGTGCGCGGCGGCCGCCCAATGTTGAAGAATTTGGCGGGAGCACAAGCGAATGCATACCGTACGATACAACCACGACCTGATTGTATCCGTCAGATTGCCTGTGTTGTGCGATGAAGTTTGAACGCTTGAGCTCGACCTTGATCAACATCAAAGTTCGTTCGTCGAGAGATCTCTTGCCATTGACATTTTCATTGGCGGCTCAGCCAAAAGGAAGCTCCATGGCAGCATGCAGCAGTGCATTGAGCTGAGCAGAATTCGAGGACGAGTTGCAGTACGGGGCCTTAGCTAGGAAGCAGCATTTCTTTTTGGGAAGATAAGCTTAGTGCTTAGAACGCGCTTCGAGGATACTAGGCAATAACCTTGCGGTATCTGAAAGGCATCATTGAGTCTCTTGCATGGGAAGAGGTGGGTTGAGAGACATGGACAATGATATTGACAGCGGTGAGGAGGAAAACCCCGGGTCTGCGCGCAGGATGGCTGGAGGAGACGTGGAAAGGATCACGGCGGGGCCGATTTTGGAGATAGTGATGGAGAACTTCATGTGCCACTCAAACACGAAAGTGGAATTGAGTCCCCGGGTCAACTTCATCACAGGGCAGAACGGAAGTGCGTGTCCTCTCTACAAATTTCTAATCAACAAACTAGTTTCCTGGGACTGCAACCAAATGTTTTGAGCAGTCAGAAGACTACAAATTTAAGATCGTAAGGCGTCAGTGGCAGGCAAATGCAGAGCAGACATGGCCTACTGCCGAAGCAGAATGCAACGAGGCAGATTGCCTGCCAAAGCAGGTTCTTTGAAATCTTCTGCAACTAGTACCTCCAAGCACCTGCTGAAGTCTCACTTCAGACAGCGTCGACAAATTAGTCGTGCCATTTTGAGGATCCTTGTCGTGTTTGAAGTCAGAGTTGACTGTTTTCTCAGCAAGCCTTCGCATGTCAACCACGCCCTCACAAACATATGCATCTCTCTTGCTGATTGACGACATGCAATTTTAAGAGTGCTGTAGTAACCTTCAAGTGCCTTGCCCGTTTGTGTCTTTCAAGTCATTGGGGATTTGCTGTGCAGGTGGCAAGAGCGCCATACTTACTGCCATATGCGTAACATTTGGAGCAAGTGCCAAGAACACACAGAGGGCCTCTTCCGCGAAGGACTTCATCAAGAATGGGGAGCAGTAAGCAGTGCCATCATACACGTCGTGACACATGAACCTGCTATGGAGTGCACGTGCTACTTTGAAGCTGACAGCTCTCATGCGTCTGTCCATGGTGGCACACTTTTCTTCGTTGGTTGTAACCACTGATTGCGAGCCCCATGCCTTTTGTTTTTGACCACACTACTGCATTGCAGGTACTTCAAGGTGACCGTGGTGCTCATGAATGAAGGCGAGGACGCTTACCAGCACCATCTATTTGGAGACAGGATTATCATAGAGCGTCAAGTGACTGCCGCAGGATCCAGCGGGTTCAAGCTCAAAAGCTCTGCTGGTAAGAAAGTCCCTTCACGTCCCACTGCCTGCGTATCCAATGCCGCGGGGCCACTTGCAAATATCCTCCCCTTGCAGGCCTTGCAAGTCATATCAGCCTAAAGTTTGAAGGCTGACTGCCTTGTCAGCATTTTGTTTCAAGCAAACGGCAAAAGTCCTGTCTTAGAACGCTGAACATTTCAAAAACTGTAATATTGCAGGCAAGATCGTGTACACCAAGCGGGACGAGCTTGACAAGATGGTTGACCATTTCAATGTAAGTGCAATGTACAATTGCTTCTTTTTGTTGCATCAAAAGTAGGTGCGAATCTTCCACAGCTAAGCGAGAAAGGGTGAAATCCAAAACGTTTCTAGGTGAGGGCTTGCTTGAAATTCTGTAAGCAATCTGCCTGATTGGATGCTTCCCAGGGTGTAGCTTTCCGTGTTCTTTGTTTCCAAAGCCCCATCAACTGTCTAAGACATTCTCCTATGCCTTTCTGGGCAGATAAACGTGGAGAATCCCTGTACTGTGATGAGCCAGGACAAAGTCAAGCAATTTCTGCACACCGGCAGCGCAACTGACCGCTACAAGGTGGGCATAACGGTGCTTTGCAGACTGTTGAGTGTTCTTGCAATTTAGTCTAGCAAGTGTTCCGCCAACTGAAAAGGGCGCAGGCATTAGTTTATTGAAATGCATCTGCTGACAACTAGGTGACTGATTGCCTGCCTTGGCAGCGAGTTGGTTTGTTTGTTTTGTAACTTGTTGATCGGATAGCGTCAACTTGTTGATCGGATAGCGTCAGCTCATTCACCCTTCAATTTGAAGCATTTCATTGCTTGGAGCCACAGATCTTGCAGGCTGAGGGCCGTGATTGACGCTGCCTCTTTTGCCTCCAGTATTACTTCAGCGCCACGATGCTGGAGGGCGTGAGCGACCAGCTGCGCACAGTTACGGGCATGGTACAGGAAGCAGAGGCGATTCTGGAGGAGCGGAAGCGCGACCTGGTGCCGCTGAAGCGCGAGTGGGAGGCGACGGAGGCGGTGCTCAAGGAGGCGGAGCAGATCAAGGACCTGCAGGACGAGCTGGCGCGCCTGACCGTCAACTACGCGTGGTCCTGGGTCTACAAGGTGGACGCCAGCATCGCGGAGGCGGAGGCCACGGTGGATGACATCACGAACAACAAGGTGCCCGTCATCGGCCAGAAAATTGCCGAGGCGCAGGTGAGACCGTCTGATGCTCCCGGTTGACGCTACCTGCTGATGCTGATGTGCCTGGGGCCACTTTTCGTCAGATAAGGTACATCAGATAATGATAGTCTCACTTCGGCGACGAACTCTTGAGGAAGAGGGCAACTGCGTTCAAGGTGAATTACGTTCTTGGAAATTGTGTTCTGCTCTTTGGATACAGTGACGAGAATAGGACCTAGTGATCCGAAAGCTCAGTAGTTGAGAGTTGACAGATTGCATGGCTTGATAACATACGGCTCAAAAAACCAATTCAGGTGCAAGACCGCCCAACCCTTGAAGCGCACCCCTAAATACATGCATGAGAATATTGTAAACGGACTTATGTTATTGCCTTTTTTCCAGGCCAATCTTGACGTTGCAAAGGCGGCTCTCGAAGAAAAGAAAGCATCTTCTGGCGACACAGACGAGACGGACCGTCTCCGAGACGAGAAGGCCAGGCTGGAAGGGGAACTGAAGGCGGTGAGTATTCTGACCTTGCTTCTGTACACCAAGACTCGGTCACTCAAGCATAGTCCAGAGTCACCAATCCACTGCCACGTGAAGTCGTTCGTCCAGACCCTGCCCATCGTGTGGCCTTGAGGGTTCCTTGTAGTTTGATTGAGGAGGCAAATTGTCTCATGTGCCACGCGAGTGCCTGTCTCAGGCGAGGCAATGCACCAGCGTGCGTGGGCAGGGCTTTGTGGTGGGCTTCAGGAGGGTCCAGCACTCACATAAACGGGCTTTTCCGAACTTGCAGACGTACCAGCAGCAAGCGAGCGCCCAGAGTGAGATCAAGCGGGCACAGACGGACATAGCCCATCTGGCGAGACGGCGGCAGGACCTGGAGCGGTCCATGCAGCAGGCGCGGGACAAGATGGAGCAGCAGACACAGGCAGAGACGTCGGAGAGGGATCGCGAGATTGCGGAGAAGAGGGCCCAGATTGACGCCGCGCAACACACGTTACAGGAGTGAGTCAAAACGCTCGAACAGATAGGGGAACGACAGGGACACTCGCCATGACAGCACTTGGTAGATGCAAACGTTCCCTACTCATGGACAGGAAGCACGAGGCCAACTGATCATCGACCGGTGGGTCCGTTGTTGCAGGATCGAGGCCAGAGAAACTGAGGCAACGGAGGCAGCATATGCAAAGCGACAGGAGATGCAGGCCTTTGGCCCCCAGGTAAAAGCAAGCATAGTCCTATGTTCTGATTCCTTGCTGCGCCAAGATCATCAATCTAGATCTGCCACCTCCTTACGACCGAATCATCTTGTTTCGAGATGTTTCATAATGCCGTCTGAGCTTAGCTTTGTATCTGTGTGTCCGCATTTAAAAGTGCATCCTGTTGCAGAAAGGGGAGCTGGAGCAGAGACTCAACGATGCCAACGGCTACTTGCGGCGACTCAATTCACAACAAAAGAATGCGGTGCGTGACTCCAGCTTGTAATCTCAGAATCTTTCTCTCGAGGTTGTCAGGCGATTGCTTCTTGAGGGTGACGCTCCGTGTTGATCAGGTCTTTACGAAGTGCCTCAGCTTCTCCTGGACTCAGATCGGGTCACATATCAGAGTTGAATGGGTGATGGATTTCTCGCTTTCGGCCGTAGTTCGCCCACTGCGGGGTGACCTGCTATGCTTTCTAGTCAACAGTGAGGTATCCCATCTCGCTGGTCGCTTGCCTGACCTCTTCTGGCCTGATCTTTACAGGAAACGGCTTTTGGAGACAAAGTGCCGCAGCTGAAAGCCGCAATCCAGCGGAAGCGTCGCAATTTTTCACGTGAACCAATCGGTCCCATTGGGGCAGAGCTGGTAAGTCGATTGGCAGAGCGTGGCCTCCTGATGGATCTGATGTCGATCGACTTCTCTGGTTGCCCTTCTTAAGCTTGCGAGGCAAAACCTGTCGCTTCGACCAAAAACAGAACTTCCAATTAAGCACTTCTGCTGGCGCAGAGCTTGACGGACGACAAGTGGAAGATCCCGGTGGAGGAGTGCGCAGGCAAAGTGTTCAACAACTTCATCGTCAACAGCTTCGAGGACATGAAGCTGCTCAAGCAGTGCGCCAAGGAGGCCAACACCTTCGTCAACGTCGTCATCTACAACTTCGACCACGCCCCGTAAGCCCTCCCCGACATTGCATTGAAGCATTTTGATCAATTACGGAAGGACCGAGTCTGATCCTGGCGGAGCACGGGCAGTAAAGTCACCGATTTGGATACTCTGTCCAGGAATGTTCCCAGGCTCTGGTGTGAGGCGTCAATACAATGGCAAGGCTCACTTTCTGTCCGCCCCCTTTGCTCAGGTACGCCCCGAGGCCCGACCAGCTGCCGGACGCCCGCCTGCTCACAATACGTCACGTGCTGCAGACTGGCAACCACACGGTCATGAACGTGCTCATGGACCAGGTAAGAGCTGCAAACCACTGACTGGCGATATAAGTCCACATATAAGTCCACTTGGCAAGCGGTTCTTGGGACGGCAAAAAATCGCCGTTTGCAGCTCGAGTCCTTCAATCACGTCAGTGTGTACGTCAGCTCATTGAGTCTTCTAGAGCTAGCACTGGATTGGATGTGTCGAGAGCCTGGAGTTTGATCGGTTATTTCTTGTACTGGAAGCCGAAGCTGCATGTGCTGGCTTGGCTTCGAAGCATCATTCTGACGATCGTTCTTTCCTGTGCGACGCCTGCAGTGTAGCATCGAGAGCGTGGTGCTGGCGGAGTCGTACGAGCAGGCCAAGGCGGTGGCCTTCACGCCGGGCAACAAAGTGAAGGAGGCCTACCTCGCAGACGGAACCAAGAGGTGCGCCGGGCGGCAACCTTCTCGTCCGTAGCTCCTGGCAGCATCTTACTCGAGACAACAGATTGTACTGGCTGCTTGATTCTGTTGAGGGAAGACCCGAAGCGAAGAAAAGCTGCCCTGCAGCATAGAAAACATCAAGGAGAGGACGAGGTTTGAGAGACGGAGGATTTTTTGTTTTGTCTAGACTAATTCGCTTATCTTATGGCAATTGATTGGAAGGCGCCTTCTCGAACTGCTTCGATAACATGAAGGACGAGGTCAGGCATGGGAGCGATCCCTTGAAGCCCTCCCAGCTTTGCTGAAGCGGAGTTTGTAAGTCTCTGACAACAGCTTGTAAGAACTTTGTCCAAGCAGTGGCTTAGCATTAGATGCAAGCGTTGTTCTGGCAGGCCCTGTGGGCCCTTCGAGTGTTTACCCCCCTGCTGCTGCGTGGCTGCAGTTTTCTGCGGGGTCAGAGTGAGACGACGCAGTCGTACAACCCCCAGACGTCGCGCCCACCGCGGCTGGGCGTGGATGTGCGCGAGCAGGCGCGCCAGGTGCAGGCCACCGCGCGGCAGCTCAAGGAGGAGCTCGACCAGCTCGTACAGCAGCAGCGGGGCCTGAACGACCAGTGCAACGAAGCGGAGAAGCTCGTGGCGGCGGTGAAGGTAAGGGGCGCGCCCGCAAGCCAGCGCTAGGGGGCATCCAACAAAATCTTGATGTCGAGCATTTGGCTATTTAAGCTTTTGAGGCTCCAAAGTCTGCAGCAACTTGACCTCGCCAGAATTTCACTTCCAGGATTCGAAAATAGGAACGAAAGCTATGTCTTCGTGTTTGTTGAGCAATCCATCCGCATGGCGCGATTGTCTCAGCCTGTGCTGGCTTTGTTTGCAGAGAGAGAAGGCGAAGGCGCTGCAGGCGGTGAACGGGCTGGAGCGCGACCTGTCGACCATCGAACGGGCGGCCAAGGCTGCAGTGGACGCAGCCAAGGCCACGCCCGAGGACGAAGGTGCAGAGCTGGAGGAGGAGCTGGCGGTAAGTCACGCGAGCAAGGCAGGCAGGCTGTATGCAACACTTGCTGCTCCTCTTCGGGGTCAGGATGCGTGTGTGTCGCGAACAACTCCGGGATGCTCTGCAACAAAACTTTGGAGGGGCTGGTCGCGACGGCCCCCCTGTCCGACCAAGTGCGCTCCTCTTTACCAGCGCCATCGAGACATGCACCCCCAGCAGAAGCTCGGCGGTTACAAGCTATCCTGGAGTCGTCATCTTAACCACGTCCCCAGGTGAACAGTGGTTGCTCACATAGTGAGCGTTCGTGAGACCGCACCACGTTCTGGCCCCTGCTCGTATACTGACGCCCCTACGTGGGTGGCGTGCAGACGATCGACGCGGATCGGGCGGAGCTGGAGGCGCCGCTGCCGGACCTGCAGCGGCAAGCCGCGGAGGCAGCAGACAAGACGCGGCAGCTCAAGCAGGACCTGGCAGCGCTCACCGGTGAGGGCCCGCCCTTTGCGCCCTCTGATGGTTTCGAAGAGTCCGGCATTCGCGTCGTACGGTAGAGCAAGGAAGGCGCAGGAGTCCGCAAGACCGCATGCCAGTGGTGGACTGGGTGGTTTTCGGGTGCCCTTTAGGCACCCTAAAACCCTAAAACATAAAAATGTGGTGCAGACCTAGCTTTAGCAGCAAGATAAGGAAACCTGCCTTTAAGAGTGACGGGGCTGTGATGAACTGTGCCACAATTGATGACTGCACTTCTGGTCTGCGCACCTCGAGCGACCCGTCGCCCTTGTTATCCAAGACTTAAACGGAGGATTCATCACATGCGCACCAGTCTCGCTCGCTGAGGCCCTCCAGGAAGGTGCCACGTCGAAGTGCAATCTGTTGATGACTCTGGCTCCTGTCTTTTGCAGAGAAAGCCACTGCGTTTGCGGACGCCGCGGAGGAGGCTCTCCGAGAGATCTACACCGCAGAGAAAGAGGTCAAGAAAGCCGAAAAGGTGCCCGCCACACGCGCCTCGTCGAGCTTGTCGCTGACAGAGCCCGACTTAGGCTTCCGTCTGATTGCCTCTGGAGATCCGAGATTCGAACCCTCGACAGCAGTCTTTTCTTGCTCATAAAGGAAAAGCTGTATCTTCATCTACTACGAGAGCAATATATACCCTCCTCCAAACCAGCTGCTCGTGGCTGATGGAGAGATGTTAGTGGTGCCTGACTGGCGGGGCGGGCCGTGTGTGTGCAGGCTGTGGAGCACTACCAGCAGCTGCTGCCGGGCCTGAACCGCGACCTGGAGGCCGCAGAAGCCAAGGTCGCGCAGGAGAAGGCCAGCAGAGAGGTAAGGCCCGCCCCCCGCAAGCACTCAGGATCACAGAGGCCTAAAATGAGGCAGTGTGCAGTTGGTTCCCATGAAGGTGTGTCCGCCATTTTGCCCACAAGTTGCTCGTTTTGATTGCAAGTGGTTCAGGCCGTTCCATTGTCAAGCATCCGAACGTGATGATTGAAAGCCTGATCTGTACTTGACGTTTGATAGCCTGATTTGTGGTTGCAACTTGTAAGTAAGCGCCCCGCTTCCGGTGGGCGTGGAGGTCAAACGTGCACCCTGGGGCCCGCTGTCTTTCAAGACCTCGGAACATGTCCACAAGCCGGTACTGACCTGTTGTTGCTGTGCAGCAAATCCTGCCGCAAGCTGAGGAGCTGTGCCCCGAGAGCGACGTGACGGAGCGGTTCACCAACCCGGACAAGGTGAAGGCCAAGATGGACCGCATGGACAAGAAGATCAAGGCGCAGGAAGCGAGGTGACCACCGCCGCCACTCAACTTAACGAGACAGCCGCACAGGCGTTGTCTGAGGCGCTGCCCTCGTCGTACAAGCAATAGTAGTCCTTCTGAAGAGCATTCGACTCGACGGACATCTAGCCGCGCCCAGTGCTAGCTGCGGTGGAGGACACGTAGGCGAGAAGGAGCTTCTGTGTATCAGGATCTTGCTTGCATCTGACGTCCCAACTTCGCCCTCGAAAGCTATTCCTTGATGCCACACAGTCATTGCCGGCTTTTGTCTTTACCTTTCGTTGGCCGTCGCCGTCGAAGTTTGCAGGAGAAATTGTTGCAGAGTGCGCAGCGTGTATCTCAAACTGGAAGGCTGACATCGGTGTGACCGGTGGTGCGTGCAGGAACGGCGGCACCCTGGACGAGCTGCACAAGCGGTGCAAGCGGGCCCAGAAGAAGTTCGTGCGCCTCAAAAAGTCGATCGACAACGTGGCCGCTCCGCTCCAGGTAACACCCCCACCTAGCAACCCGCAACCGCTGCTTGTCGGTCAAGACGGGGAAGCATGTGCTGGTCATGGTAGCCTCCGGCAGTGTGTACCCCGGCACTGCATTGAGCAATATCCCGCAATGATTGGTGCTGCCTGGGGTCACTGCACAAATGCATGCCCGAGTCTTGTGCCTGCCTGACGTGTAGGGTGGCTGGCACACGCTCTCTGACTGCAAGAGGTGAGCAGGAACGTATGCAGGTCCGGCCCGAAGGCTTGAATGGGTCGTCATATTGTTCTACTATCTCAAACATGCTTTCCGTGTACAGACGCTTCAAGAGGGGCTAAGAAAACGGCAGAAAAAGCTGAGCAAAAACGCCAAGCTGTACAAGCAGGAGATCAGCTGGAGGTGAGGCTGTGCTCTTGGGGTTGAGCAGCCGGGAAACCACGGCGCTGGCCCCGCCTGCCTCTCATGCGTGTGCTCTTTGACGCAGACAATACAAGACATGTTTGAGGCGAGGATGAAAGCTTTCAAGAGATTGCGGAAGCGAACCGCCTTCAAGTTGCAACTCAAGTAAGTGCTTAATCAAGGGGGGGTTCTTGGGCCTGGGCGTGAAAGAAAAGGGAAGTTGGGAAACTCAGTAAAGCTAAACCACATTACCGTTTCCTCCATATCGACTGACTTACAACAATCAGAAGTTGCAGGTTGCTCACGCATTGGTTGTTCTTCAATGTTGCCCGTGTATTTGTTTCTGACGGCACGGAGATGATCCTGTATGATGCAGCTTCAACAGCAACCTGCACAAGAAGGGCTTCACGGGCAAGGTGGACGTGGACTATAGCGCCATGAAGCTCACTCTCGAGGTCACCACCGCCGACGGCTCCAACCAGGCCGTCACCGACACGCGCGCACTCTCAGGTACACCCCTGCGCCACATGACGTGGGGCTCCGCACCAGGCTTGTTGGCTTCTTCGCCGAGGTCTTGGGTGCGCTTGACACGTGCGCTTGACAAGTGGACAAAGTTGACAGCAGCCAGCCGAAGAAGTGCCTGGGTGTAGCCATCAGTCCGGGCGACCCCAAGTTCGACTGGGTACATTCCATTGCATTGACCGTGCGCAACTGCTTTTGCGACTAAGATTGTTGATTTCTGACCTGCCAACGGTGGTCTGCTGCAGGCGGCGAGCGGTCCTTCTCCACGGTTGCTTTTGCCCTGGCGCTGCATGACCTGTCCGAGTCGCCCTTCCGGGCGATGGACGAGTTCGACGTCTTCATGGTGAGCACGGCATCCCGTAGGATCGAAGGCTGTGCGGGTAACTTTCTTTACGAGCCTGCTGCTGCCATGTTTACATTCATGCAACACAGACAGGGCGCTTTCGCTCAGCTGATCAGCCTGCACCTGGCCATCTGAGGCTATCTTCCCGCGCTTACGCAGGACTCGGTCAACCGGAAGCTCAGCCTGCAGACTGTGGTCGACTTTGCCGTCAAGCACAAGTCGCAGTGGATGTTTATCACCCCGCACGACATCAGGTACGTCGCTACCACGTGTTGAAAAATGTTCTTGGCTCCTGAGCTGGGGCCGGGTGGCCGTCCTTATCAGTGACTCTGGCACACGAGGGACCGACCTCTATGTCCTAGCGGTCTGAATTTTGCAGTTATTCTCAGGGGATCCCTGCGCTGTCTTCATGACTCAGGTCCTGATTGTGTTGATCTTTTGCAGGGACGTGAAGCCTGGGCCCTACGTGAAAATTCAGCAGATGCATGCACCACGGCCCTGATTGATGCAATAAACGTTCACGGATTGTACTTCACTAGGTCAGCCTTAAAATATTCGGGCAATCGGTTACTACATGCGGGCCCGGCCATAAAGGGATTGATTGGTGACCATACATTGCGCAAACGGACTCGCTTTGAGTTGCTGTGAGTCAAGCAAGTTCTGAAGCCGATTTGGTCTGGCTATTGCGTGACGCGCATGCATGCCGAAGTCCAATTGCAAAGGCCACACCCAGGGTAAGTTTGCATGCCCCCTACACTTCAAAACCTAACGGGTATTATAAATCGTCAAGCCAAGTATCTTGTTGTCACTTTTGTCACTCTTACGATTGAACCGTGACTCTATGCGCGCGGCTTCATATGAAATCAAAACAATCAGTGCAGGTGATAGTCCCGTATGTACGTTCAATTCTATCCGATTCGGTACACTAATCGAAAGTAACGAGCTCAAGACTCCTGCATATATTGCATATGCGCACAGGTCCTAGCGCCCGGCGTCGGAAGCTAGCTACAAAAGAATACTTGCTGATCCGTCTAGCGCGCTCTTATGCGCTTACAAATTCGTAAATATAGCCAACTACTTCAAAGAAAGATCATTGCATGACGGCCGGCCGGCGCGCTGCGCGTGCTAAGGTTAATCATTGAATTAATTAATATCATTGATCGATCAGGGTTCAACGGTAGAACGCCTGGGCCGCCGGGCCAGGCTTGCCATCCAGGAAAACTTGCGATGAAATTAAGGGTTCCGTCAATTGTGTGGGGTTACGTGAGACTCAAAATCCTTGTTTTTGAAGCAGAAAAGCTGCTGGGCCCCAGTTAACTGATTAGTAGAGGGCCTTAGTCGCTCAATTTCCGAAGTTCGACCTCAATCAAAGCAATCGATAAACCGGTTGGCTAGTAAGGGTTCGGCCACTAGGATCACAAATATAAAAATGCCCGGCCCTACTAAGCTGCCGTTTTTGAAATAAACATATGTCTGGCATAACAATAAAAGAAGCGATCATATGCCGGCCATGCTATCATTTTCAAGGCAGCCCCGGACAGGTTCAATCACCATATGCTTGCAAGAACACTAAATTCTACTATATATGACAGCAAAAATGCGAGGGACTTCGTTTGGTGAGCTTGTAAAATACTGTAACGGCCGGCAGTACTACCACTGCACTGGGCCGCAAAAGGTGCACTACGATGGCATGCCAATAAACTTGGTACAGATACCGTCTCACGGAAGGTTCAATGACGAGATGCAATGACGAGATGCGCTACTTTCGGCCCCCAGACCAGAAGACCAAGCACAATCTGATGGCAATTAAGCAGCTTGGCATACCGTACGTACTCAGTCGATTTTTAAGCGCGGTATGACATATGCACATGCCAGCTATAAATTTGAAACGTACTGGTCTGCCAATATTACAATATGCCAGTGGTAAAACCCTAAAAAGCTTCGACGATGCATACATACTTCGATCAACATGCATCAGTTTCAATATCTAAAATAGTACATCGGCAAAATCAAGATTAGTTGTTTTCCATTAGTTTTTTTGAAAATTTATTCTAATCGATTAATTTGTTTTTGCAACCGAGGTTGGGATTTTAGGTTGGTGACGTCAGCGTATACAAAAAGAGGTTGTCGTTCAGTCGTTTTTCAGGGCTTTCAGAATCTGCGTTTTTTGAGTTTTAGGGTTTTAGGGTTTTAGGGTTTTAAAGTTTTAGGGTTTTAGGG